GACCGAGAATGCGCGGTCCGTTCGGTCGAGTCGTCCGTGCTCGGACGCGTTGAAGGGAGGACGAGGAGACTGGAGAGTGGACCTACATGGCGGCTATTCCCTATAGGGATCCAGTGGTACCTTCTGAGTAGGTATGAGTAGGTACGACTGGATTTCTAGAATGTTTTCTCTTCAATGGGTCATGGCAGGAGCCTAAAACGGTCGGTCTACGCCCATGACTCACCTACTTGGCAGCCGATTCTCTTTGAACTCAGATGTCCTACGCTCCTCAAGGAGACAGTCCAGCCTTGGGGAACTGTCTCAAGCAACGCTTCCCATGGCCGTGTCCATGAAGCAGCACAAACACACAGTGCACTCTACTACACTCCCTGACTGAAATAATTGAAAATCATCATGAAAGTGGACAATGGCCCCATGGATGACCACTTTCCAAGTACCAAACAGGTGGAACACTCCACTCCCATCTTGGTGCCTTGGAGTGTAGATTCCACGACATCGGTTCTGAACACGGATAACAAAAGTGGATTGTTTTGCCGTGATGCTGTTACTCGATAGGGTTTGACGTTGTCCTGGGTTGTGGTGTATTTTTACATGCCGGCGAATAATGCATTTTTATGAACACCAAAAAAAAAGAACGACATCATAGTAGTAATTACCGCTAGTTACTAATATCCATTGCAAACACAATATAGTTCACCGTGATGGTTCTACAATGGAACAGAAGACTTCAGAGTTCACAGGCCAGTCTTGTAAATCAACGAAGAGTGCCCGCTGTGCTTCACATGACACCATGCTTCCGGACTCCTGCAGGAGCTGCGTCAGCTTGGAGTTGCGGAATGGCACGTGGGTCACGCGGCGCTCCTGGAGATGAGTCGCTGCGTAGCGCCCGGGCGTGTCACGCAGCGTGTGTAGCTTCTGGGAGAGGAGCTGGGAGAGATGGGAGAGAAGCTGGGAGAGGACTGAGACCATCATGAATCATGCGAAAGACGAGAGCAAATCGCCCCTACTTGCCTAACTAGCCCTATCTTGCCCTATACTAGTGTCAGACAAGAATGAATAGGTGAATAGGTCTCAAAACAACAGTTCCTGATGATGTCTCTTTAATGGGCAGTCAACCCTTCTCAAATGAGGCATGTTGGTCACCAGCTTGGGTTCTCGTCCCCACGGCGACCTCTCCAAGAACGGCGACCTCCATACGTCGAAGGCTTCACCCTAAGGGTCCCGGACCCAAATCGGATGCCCCCCAGGCAACGACCGGTGAAGGAACCGACTCCCGGTGGCTTCGAAGGTTTCATCCGAAAAGCCCGGCGGGCCTGCGGGTATGAAGTACCAAAAACAGAGACATACCAAGATCCATTTAGTGACCAATGTTACCACGAAAGGAAACTCATCTGGCGCCAGCATAGAACCCCCACAGAGAAACCTCTTGTGACTCTTGTGACCAAAAACGACCTGCGCATCTCTGGTGACCCGCCCAAAAGGGTTCGAGAATCAAACCGTGATTAAACAAGGTCGGCTTCATGGATCCAAATATTTTCCATGAAAGGGAGAGTCCCCTCCCAATACAGTTACAGTAGGATGATGTAGGATGAATGTTTTTGGAAATTCCTCGTTTCACGAGGCAAGAACCTTTAGCTTTCCAAACTTGTTACGTCCGTTCCGCGCCGTCCCGAAACCTTCCACCTATCGTGGTTCACATGTTTCACACGGGTTTCGCCGGGGTCCTTGGCCGAAATCACGTCTGCCAAGGCGCTCAAGGAGCCTTGGGAGGTTTGGACTGGACGAAGGGGTTGGACAGAGTTGGATGACTCACATAGACGTGGATCCGACTTTGTTCGTACAGAATTGGACCACCCTGCCAAACATGTGCTTGTACCATCTTGTACCCAGTCTGAGGTACGAACTGAGACTCCAGGTATACCAAGGGTGGTTGACCAGTTTCGGTGGGTCTTGGGCAATTGGATGCGGCTGAGATTTTCACAGGGCGTCTATTTGCCACCACCTTTATGGTGTCCCATGGAGTGAGTATAAGTGAGTCATGTTTATCCCACATAGAAATGGCCAAGACCAAGGCCTCACTGCAAGATGATGAGGGTGAGGGTGCAAACGCCCCGAGGGCAGCGATCCAAGAAGTAGATCGCTTGAAGGGCGGATTGTTCTGTCTCAGGGTCCTGCTGCTGTATCTGATGTCCCTTGAAGTTGATTTTTGTTGGAAAGAAATCGCACAAATTGTAACATGCCAACTGGATGTTTGGGGGAAGGGCCTGCGAAAGCAATGCAGTATTTTTTGGATGCGCCGCGTTGAAATGATCAGCACTCTAAGATGTACTTATACCCCAGTAGTACTGCTCAAGAACCCTTAGGTCTCGACTCCTTCCTCGACTCCTTCCTTCACCGGTCTCGGTTCCATCGCAGCCGAAGCGTCGGTTGATGTGTTGCGCTTCTCGACGACGCTCCCCCACAGCCTGTGCAGGAGGTCAAGTGATGTGGTCGGTTGGCCAGTGGGAACAAGAACAGCAAAAGCTGAAAATAGGAAGAACTAGAGTCCCCGGCTTGGGGTGTCTATTAGTAGCCCCGAAAAAAGGTTAAGGGTGATAGTGACCATTAACCACCCCTTAGTGGTAGGAGGCTCTGGTCAATGGCAAACAGCATGACTAAATGGCTTGCAAGCTTTGTGATCACATTGTGTTAGTAAGACACATAACAAGCAGTGGTCACGATGAACTTGAGCAGTATACAGTATACAACGGTATCTCACCACAACTACGAGTACGGGACTGCGATCCATGTCAACAACAGAGCCATGGCATGTTTGATCCCGCCTCCCAAATACTCCACGCATGATCCACCCCGATCCTTTCTCCAACCAGTCAACTTCAACCCGTGCAGCTTCCAAAGCCCCGTGTAGTGCTTCGAAAGCCGTAGCCAGTGACCTGAACTAGGACCTGAGGCCCTGGGGTACCCAACTGGAATAGGTCTACAGATGTCGAGCCTATGGGCCTATGGGGTTCTTCAACCTCTGTTGCTTCTTTTCGCTCTCTATTTGGCCGTGCTCCTGGAGCTGTTCGCTCTGGAGTCGGGCGTCCTCTTCAACACCCGCCGGTGAGTCGCGCTGGTCACGACCGTCGTCGAGGTGAAACGTGGAGCGTGAGGTTGGTGGATCCGATCTACAACGCCCAAAGGGAGAGGTTGGTGGGCCACCCAGTAGGGGTGGTTAAATACATGCCTACATGGCCCGGACCACCCTGAAGTCTCTTTGTTTGTATATGTTTAATGTACCAGGGACCCCGGTTTGAGTGGTGAAATGGATACCTGAATCACCGACCTTATAATAAAGGGCAAGTTTTTGGTTAAGACACCCCAAACTACCTGGGGCCCTTTTTGGCCGCCTGTGGGGTATGGGTTCTAACTACTAAACACCTCCCAAACGACCTTCTCAGAACGGCCAAAAACGTGGCCTCTTGGAGCCTGTGGCCTCTTGGAGCCTGCCTCCCTGCGCTCCGGTCCGAGTGGGTCCGAACCAACCAGTCGCGACGCGACAGACCTGGGGTGGGTTTGACCAAAGCAGACCGCCGAAGCCAAGGGCTGAAGCCAAACGTCAACAAGACTGGCATATAAGAGTGGTGAACCTGGGGTCAATGTAGGCATTTGTTCCAGTTTTATGGAGTGTCCGGGTATAGAAGTTCTTTGCTTCGATGTTCTTTTTCTGTGCCGGTTGCCACTAAAAGCCTGCATGAGTGGTTTGTGTTCACGCTGCAGTCGAATCGCTGGTGACTTGAAACAGCACCAGCTTCTCATGCACTGCATCGCTGGAGTCTCAAACTACCTGAGAGAATATGGGTATACGGTATAATGAAAGTATAAGAGTGCTTCTATAGGACCATATCTAACCTTAGACTTCTTTGGAGGATCTAGGTACTGCTCACACCATGTGTTCAAGGTACATGTTGGTCTGCAGAAAAGTGGAATCATTGATTCTCGGATCCACTGGGTTAATGGTACGGCGCGGAGGCTGTCACGAATGAAACAAAACAGTGGATTTAATTGTTTATTGAACTTTGCCCTCAAGAAGAAGAGGACAACTAATATATATATATATATGTATAAAACAAACACGTGCTAAATAACAACACGTGAACTAGAGGGCCCAACCTGAATAAACAAGAACATCCAACATGAATGCCATAAAGACACCAACGGCAAATCATGTTTGTCGCTGAAGCCGCGAATCACAAGGGGCAAGGGCCCATGAAGACATGATATTGAAGACATGAACATACAAAACATACGCAGAATATCTGGGTGACTCCCTCATTGTTGAATACTTGATACTCATTGTTGAATAGGGGCCCGACTCGTCTTCTAGGACCCCCTGGAAGGTCTACCGAGTAAAGACCAGTCTACCGGTTGGGAGGCCTCCCTATTCTACCCATCTCATCTGTGGTTTTCAACCATGCGTCTCACCACTGTCCTGTCCGCCACCTGGGGCAGCAGCTTCAAGCTTCACCGAGTTAAGGCTTTGTGTGGCAATCATCAGCTTCTAGTTGTTTGACGTTATGTTTCAATGGAAGGTTCCAGTCTTTGAGGATTGGCTTTCAAAAACTCTGAACCTGAGGACTTAGACAAAGGTCTCCCCATTCTACTCATTCTCTACTCTTCCATTTGGCTCTATAGAAGGAAACATTCATCCAATTCCTTGGCAAAAAATAACCTCAGAACGGGTGTCGAGTAGGGCAAGGAAACAAAAACAAGACACGTTGGACCCTGCAAAGCCACCCCGGCCCCATCCCTGGTCCACCTTCTCAAAAGGTAGTTATCATCTTGTAAATAAGTCATAGATAGTATATATATATACTATATGTCATATATACTATCTATGGAATATTTAGCAACATTATGCTACATTGGATTGGTTTCAGGGTACCCCAAACACTCCATTGAATTGATCGGACGTGGGAGTTCAAGGGCACCTCCGCATGGACAGGCTCGCCGCTCGCCACTCAGCTTGCCAACAAGGGCTGGGAGATGGTTGCACCTGGAGTGCCGAAGTCCATCTGAACTTCCCAAGGCCGGCTGAAGCCTTAGGTAGCTCCCAGCCAGTAGGTCAGTCAACCACTTGGAGCAAGGCATCCCACATCTCAAATCAGGAGTAGGGACTCCCAGTAGGGACGTTTGGTTGCTAGTCCATGCAGAGGTTCCTGGGTCCTTCTGTTCAGCTGGCACCGTGGGCCCATGGTCAGTGTTTCCGCAGTTTGGCATCTGGGACTGGCCCTTCGCGCCGGGACATTGAAACATTGTATACGGAAATCCATTCAACAAAAGATACAGTAAATTACAGCAAACATAAACAAACTTTGGCGACTTCAAATTTGGCACACAAACACGTTCTTCCATCAGAAAGATTTCCTGGGCTCGCCACCTCCACTACCTCTTGGCAAACCTTCCGCGTGTTCCTCCACACGCAAAGCCCCTCAGCGACCACCAACCACGCCTCGTTCAGGGGACTCAGGTGTCTCCTCAGACCTGGGGGCCACGGACGCCTGGAACGTGGAACTGGATTAGACTCGCAAACAATTCCCAGCCCCCCCAGAAACAATCAGGCCCAGGCACCGATCTCAATCAAGCGGAGAGTCCTTGCTACGTTCGTAGCTGCTTGTTCCTATAGTTGTATACGGCCAGGAGCTACGTTCGTAGTGTCCGATCGCTCCTAGCGATGCCCTAGAAGCTACGTTCGTAGCGTCCTCTTGCTACGTTCGTAGCAAGGGGCCAGACATGGGTTTTATTTGTCCAGTCACGTGTGAAAGACGGTGCTCCGTCCAGTCACGATTCCGAGAACTGCATTGGTCGGGAATCGGAGCTGGAACTGGGAAGGAAGGCGAACAGTCCTTCAGCCGCTCGACTTGGCAAACCAAACCAATCTGAGGATACCCAAATCACTATCATTGCAGACCTTAGACCTGCCTGGGAAGATCCCCAGTGACTGAACTTGATTGTTCCAAAAAAAATGGTTGGACTCGTGCCTTTGTGCCTGTTATGGATGGGACTCCCCAGTTGGGAAGGTCCTGGTGGTCATTGGACAGATGTCATAGCCTCCACCTCTGAGCCTCACAATTGACCAGGAGCCTCACAAACCTCTGAAGGTGTGACACAAGTTCGTGGACCCACTTCGCCCCTTAGAAAATGCCCCATAACACAAAGCTGGTTCTGAGTGAGACTCCGGTATAATCTCTATTCAGAAACAACTTTGAGAATCCAATCTAATCTAATTATCCCACCACTCCGCCATGGAGTGTGCAATAGCCCCAAACAAGGTGATTCGGGCTGTCCATTCACCACCCCAAACTGGGGGGCCCTGGTAATTTGAACATCCCTAGGTATCCACATACCCTCTGAGAAGGTGATAGGGCCCTCGAAACATACAACATCAATGAGTCTCCAATCACCTTCTCAGAGGCTATGCAAATCTGTAGGGAAGTAAAAGGACACAATATGATTTGTTTGCTCCCTTTTTCTGACATCTCCCCAACCCGACAGCTAGTCGTACAACATCATACCACCAAATTGCCGGATTCCAATACCACGCTGTCAGGATGGCTATATTACTTGATGATGAATCTATAATGCGTGCGGGTCGGCCCACCGCCCTTGAGTGGTATAGATAGATAGTCCAGTTTCTTTGTTCCACCTTCTTGACACTCTTGCGGGTGGTTGTTGCCCAACATCAAGCTGAAAGGTTTGGCTGTTCCACCTTCTTGATGCTGTTGCTGGTGGATACCCAACACCCGGTGCAACCCAGGGACCCAGGGACTGGAACGCTTGGCGTACAACCCGGGACGAAGAGGGGGGTCAACAAAAAGAACCATAGAAACTAAAATGGATCATCTGATGAATGGCATGGACCAGACTGGAAGAGTATGGGTTTCCTCTAAAAAAACAAGGTGTTTTTCAGGTTCCATGTGGGTCTCTCAACCAGGGCGTATGATTTTTGTGCACCTGCTGGGGTGTTACCAGCAAAGGTATGAATCCCCAACAAGTGCCAAACTTTTTCAATACCCTTCTTGAAACGTCCCGAGCTTCTGACCCTTTTCGAAGAGTGGAGACGGTGTGGAGAAACCAGATCCAGATCTTCTTCGATGAAAGTCTTCTAGCGACCCTGCTTCTTCCTGAGTACCGTGTTCTATGACCTTTTGCTGGTGTTCTGTCCGCTGGGTGACCTCGAAGCTCAGACTGGGCGTCCCAGCTGCGTAGGAGACTGGGCGAATGCAGGTGTTGGCACAGGATCTGCGCCAGGCCGAAGGCAGAAACAGCGGACCGAGGCGTGGATCGTCGTCCGTCCCAATCGACCGAGGAATCCGCTGGTGGTCCTAGGCATCTCAGTAACGATCCTAGGTCCTAGATGCTCCAGCCTTTGACCCTTCAACATGTGTACCTTTGTCGACATGTTTTCTTCTTTTCCGTCTTCTAAATTTAAGGCTATTGTTTGGGGGGGTGCAACTTCACCTGCCGTCTGATCCAAGACCCAAGTCGTCGACCTTCCCTCGGATCGGAAATCAGCTGGTGCCGTCTGATCGCAGGTGCGTCTCGGTCGTTCCCGGTCGGAAATGGAAAGGGTTCTCAACCTTTTTGGCGACCTGTGAAAGTAGCTCAGAGTCCATGGGTGATAGGCCCTCGCAGCTGTTATTTGGGTTCTGGTCATGTCACCATGTGCCCATTTTCTAGGTTCCAAAAATGGAAGGGAAAATGAACACATGGTCAATGAGAATCGTTGACCAGGCCATCTATGTATGAATCGATGTATTACGCATGGAACGCATTTGTGACTATTCGATATATATATATATATATAGAGAGAGATATACCTGGACCTTCAATTGATACCAAAATTTTGGGACTCCGCTGGACCGAAAAAAAAACATATTCATTGGGGATTAAAGCTAGACATAGGCAAACTGATTGGCCTCCACTTGGGTTGCAACAGTCCCAATTGGCTAAGACCACAAAAGTGCTATAAAATGTTGGATTTCTGCGCGAATCTTGAATCTTAGGTCGAGGCCAGAAAAACAGATACAAAAGCAGGAGGGTCAAAGAATATGGGTACTTAGGAGGGTCCAGGTCCAGGTATAGCATATATGGACGGCCTGGGATTCCTTGTTTGACCCAGCCGGTGTTAGACCCACAGAACACTTACAACATATATCATATATCATCTTATAACTAACATTTAATGTACACATATAGTATCTTGGTCATGACTAGGGTATCTCATTATATGCGCGGCTACATGTGATTCGTAGTATAAACTCAAATATCTGTTTTAGACTATTTAAGTAGGAGGTCCTTTTAGACTATTTATTTAAGTAGGAGGTCATGTCAGAGTATCTCGTTCAAACTACTTTAGTAGCAGATCACACTATCTCGTTGAAACTACTTTAACTTTAGTGTCATCAAGCAAGCAAAAGTATCTCGTTTATGTGGGGGGCCCTATCTCGTTCACAGGCGAATACTGATGATAGACCAGCAATGAACAAGCAAATAGAGCATGCAGTAGACAACTTCAGTAAAGTGACCATGGGAGTGGGAGTGAGCTTGTTGCTGGTCATACCCGAACCGGCAACTTTACGCTAAAGGAGAGACACTGCCATTGCCTTTGAATAATCTCTAGCGCGGCGCTTCAATGGCGAAAGAGCACTGGGTGAAAAAGAAGTTGGTTCATGCCCAGGTCCTGTTGTGAGGAATCTGTGAGTGAGTGAAGCTTGAAAAAACTGGCAATTGAAAGCCTCTCAATCCTCAACTCCCAACCGCCCTCGACTCCCAACCGCACGGCCACGATTCCACGCCGCCGCCTGTGCGCTGCTGAGCCACATCACCTGGTGCGCACGCAGCAGTAGGATTCCGGTTGAATCTCAAAGTTTTATTTGTGTTGTGGGACATGATGTTTGGGGACGGCTGGAGAATGGGTACATGTGCTCTTTGTTTGAGTCATGTCAGTCACGTCCCAGATCTAATGGGGGTACAGACAGGAGTGTTCCCCAGTTGCTGAAGAAAGCAATCAATTCAACCTGTGCGACGTCCTCTCTGGACGAGTTGCGTGGAGCGTCCGGTGGGGCGACCGGAACTTGAGGCGCGACTGGTTTGGGCGCTGCCAGGGTAGCAGCGCAAAGCTGCAACTTGGGCGGCAGGAGCTCCAAGGAGAGCAGCCAACGCGCCCACCTCGGCATCCGAGTTCGAAGGGAGAACGGTGGCTTCGATTGCGGCCCAATTGGGTTTTCTTTGAAGAGCTGCTTGGGTTTGGGGGCGTTGGTGAGGTTGATGGAGAATATATGATCTACACTGTAGTGATGGGTGGAAGCAACACGGCTGGTGAATAAGCAATCAAGGGTACGCGCTACGTTCTTGACATAATTGAGACTTGCAAGGAGTGCAACGAGATGGTTGATTGATGCCTTCGACGAGTCAGGAGCTTGAAAGGTCCACAATGTTTCAGAAATCCTTAAGCAAAAAAAAACAAACAGTTGTTACACAGTGTTGCCAAGTGCATTCATGCCAGTTGTGCAAAAGTTATCCACCAGTACCACCCACTAGATGTCAAACACGTTTCATTTGATTGTAAAATATTGAAACGCTAAAAAATCGATATCAATACAAAAGTGACACAATGTAAATTTTTTGAGATACAAGTGAATCACCTTCTAAAGAATGATGCCCGATTGCCACGTAGTTCCTAAGGGTTACGGTTAGTTGCTGCCAACTTTCAGAACTATATCTACACTTCATTTAAGTGGCCCGACCAATGTTTTGAGGTAGCTGGAAGAACACGCATGCCCATCCACGCCGCATATGGGCCCCAGTTGTTTCCCTCTATTAGCTTCAAGAAAGGGCTGCTCGGCAAGAATTTGCGGATGAAACATGCCACAAAATCATGGCAGTTCGCTTTAGAAATGGAATAGGCCTCCACCTTCTGCAGCAGCTCGTGCACTGCCGCTCGGAAGTAATGAGTAAGCGTAAAGCTTCCGCAGCTACAAAAAGCCCACCCCACCGGCATGTCTGGCAAAAGAGAAACCCCATGACCGCTGCGAGGTGTCCAGCCTAGCGGTGGCTCTTGGATGAGCACACCCGGGGTGCTGACATTTCCCCAAAAGTAACTGCGCAACAAATTGTTTGTGTCGCAAAATTTGCGCACAATTTCAGAGTGCGTGAAGAACTTCAAACGAGATTGAACCTCTCCCACCCATCGGAGCAATGCCAGCGTATTGACTGTATCGCCATCAGCCACTGATCTGGTTTTGTTTCTTGCCCGCCTTTGGAAACACCTCCAGAAGCGCTCCGTGCCGATAGTGCCCAAGCCACAAGGAGACTTGCCAGCCCTGCTCGACAGCCCACCATTTACACCTGTAGGCTGCAAGCAAGCCATTGACAACGACGCTTTGGCATTGACATTCCACTGCGTCCTTGAACTTGGCCCCGCCACAAGGAACATCTTGCATCACCTTGCGGGTTGCAACAGCACCTGGCCCTCGCGGACGCTTCCCGCTTGAGGTAGTGAAGTTGCGTAGAAGCCCAGCGCCCAGTCTGTCCGGTGCCCTGTGTTTGGGAAGCATGGATCGGCCAGTAAAGCAGCCAGGTCGACCCGGGTCCTGTTACTATAAGCAATGGAAGCTCCCTGGTCGACCCGGGTCCCCATACTATATAACCCTAAGGGTCCAGGACCATCCTGAGGATGTCCTTGGACCGCCCAAGACCATTCTCTGGAAATACTTTCACCTCCAAGACCATCCTCAGGAGGCACCTGGACCCTATGGGTAAGCAAAACGATGTTTATTTGGAGGCTTTTGGCCTCTGAGCCTCTCTCTCTCTCTCTCTGTATACATCGGATGTCAACCATCATTGTAAAAACTCACCGCGACAAACCGTGTGCACAAAGGGCTACAGGGTTGACAAACTTGTGAGGATTTTGCAGGGGTTACAGGATAGTGGGTTGAACCTATATGCTCAACAAGAATACGGCCCGCATCTGCGTATTATGCTTTGGGCTTCTCCATCAAGGAGCTTGCCACGCGTTCGATTGGAAAGGTCTACGCAGCGCTGCGCCTGCAACGAATCTACTAGATTCAAGGTTGACAAAGCGCTGCGCGTGCCACGAAATCTGCACTTTAAGGTCCACAAAGCACGGTGCCTGCCACGAAATCTGCGCATCAAGATTCACATCACGCTGCCCTGCCAAAGCGAGTCGCACCAAGAGCACTTCCAAAGACAACATCAAGATGCCAAAGCGCAGCTTTCGCTTGAGATGTCTTCCAATTTCTGAAAACGGGCCACATGTCCAAAAGTGCACTGAGTTGACACTCTACTGCGATGGAGGCCCCAACATGGAGTCTTGAGCCCATGAGTGCATCTGGCGCTGGGGTGCGTCTATCTGTCACCTGTCCGTTCCACAACCATTGCACGGGCGCAGACCTTTGCTCTGTCAATGTGGTTTTTCACCAGGTTGAGGAGAAACTGCTGACTACATCTAAACGAACGTTCGCAAAAGTAATCCGTAAAGATTCTAATCCGTATGTGTGATTGAAACCGTTTTAATCCGTAATCCGGGCCACCATTCAGGGTTCTCACCTCTTGAAATACAGAACATTTGGTATGTGTATATATTGTTGCTAATTAAGCAATGCCAGTTGAAGGAACTCAAACTGGAGCAAAGGAGCTGCCGCGTCCCACTGAATCAGTTTTCCCCTTACCGGTTTCGGCCATGGTCAATGGTTAAATTGGCGCCGGGCTTAGCCCCCAGGTCATGACTATTGCATGGACCAACCCCAAACATTCAATCTAGAGGATCTACGTGCCACTTTCACCTTCAAGGCCATTCTGAGCCTCAGTAGCCTTGGCCGCAAGAGTATCTTCAAGTGGCCTTTGCTTCGAAGCCATCCGCAGGCTCATACGCCTTCTCCTCCAGCACCGAACAAGGAGGAGTGCTTAGGGCATGAGGCGCAGGTGTCTTCGGCGCACTAGACGTGCGCACCAGGCGGCGGCGCTTGGTGCGGGCCACCAACTCAGCTGCTTTCGCTTCCTGCATCTGTTTGTGCTGCTGGTCTTGGAGACTTTTCAAGACCAGTTCTTCGTTGCTCAGGGTTTCTCCAAGCTGGACATCTTCACACTTCAAAGACTTGCGTTTTGCATGCTGAGCACACAACTGCCCGATGGAAGTACACGGTGAGCATCTGTTCAATCGCGAAAGCGAGCACTGCTTGGGAGTCCTTGTCAAAACGGAATGTTCTCGGCAACTCCGCTTCCTCAATGGTCACGGCAATGGCCTGATCACGGGCGAAAGGAGAAGCAAACAGAGTCCATGGCACCGTGCATGGCAAACAAGAGTCTCTACTAATCACTGTCTCTCTTCCGCTTGTGCTGCCACACCACCAAGCCGGACATAGTCCACGAGTTTTCCCATCTCACACAAGAGGAACTCGGATCTCGTCGGCTGCCCTTTGCAGCTCTTCCCTATAAGCTGCTTCTGGGATGCAGTCAAACCACGGAGCTTCTGCAACCTGGCTTGCCCAGAGCGGATCAACGAGCCGCTTGCAATGCAGGGGACTGGTCTCGAAGCCATTGACGAGATCAGTGGCCTTTTGAGAACCAATCTGCAGGCCTTCGGGAAGTCCTCCAAAAATTATTGTAGAACGCCACAGTTCGACGTCGACGTAGCCAGGAAAGCAGCGGAGCCGGCCTTGCCATCAGAAGGGACACTGGGAACCTGCAGGTCCAGCGCACGAATGCACGGCGCCCTTGCATCTCGGCCTACCGGCCTCGATGTGCATCTCGGCTGCCGACTGCAGGTCCTTGATTCCTTTTGTGATGGCCTCAATTTCTGGCTTCTGCCGCGCTCTTGGCTGTCGTCGCCGTGATCCTTGGGGTCGTCGCTGGTGCCGTGGTGGAGATCGACGCGTTGGCCATGATTGCTTTCGCTGCCTGATCGTAGGTCGCATCACGAATCACTGCGGCTGCAAGGAAATCGGAGCACGCCGAAGACCACCTGAAGCCCTTCCGATCCTTTAGACTTTAGACCACCAAAACATGAGGTTTCCCTTGCGCTGCTACGACAAATGATCACCAAGTCCGAAAATGTGCACGGCACCACAACGAGAGCGAAGTCCCGAAGGGCACCAGCATACGCAGTCTAAATGCACTTCGAAGATCGGGGCGACTGAATGTACTGTAAATAGCAGTGAATTAGCCGCAAACGGATGCGAGCACCTCGATCAAACACCGGTCTTTACCTCTTACCGTAAGAACCCATGGACACACGGTTTGGAGAAAAAGCATATTTATTTGTCACCCACCAGTAAATTATTTACCCATTGAGGAAATTAAGATATCACCTTAAGCAAAACCAGGTGCCAGGAGTCACAAAGGGGTGGTTTTTAGTCCCTAAGTGAGTGGATAATGGGGACCCCTATCCTCCAATAGGCACCCTGTCTTGTGACTCCTGGACTCCTGGTGCAATGTTTTTTGTCAGAGATCCGCAGCTCCCGGTCCACAGCCCCGCTGGGTGCTCCACTGCCGGAACGAGAGCCTCAGGGGAGGCTTGGCCCCGCAAAGGGGCGCAGAACGCCTGGCCAGGCTGGAGAGATGAGGTGAGGTGGGTGTTTTGTAGCCACATGGGTCTAGAAGATTGAGACACAAACCCTCATGTATAGATTCATAAACCTCTACCTATTCCACAGAACATAGTAATTGTATCAGGGTTTGGTTGAAATGAGTCCTTTTCGGAACCAAAAATCGGGCTGGGGAATTGCTTCTTCTGAGTGCTTTTCATGTGTTGGGAGTCGCCATGACGGCTAGACCGGGGGGTCTGGACCCCGGACCCGACCCGAACATGAAAACAGGACCCGAACATGGTACGACTGTGAACCCATTGTCTTGAGGTACGAGTCTGGAAGTCCAGGTGCTCTCAAAACGGAGCGTTGTTTCTTTTCAAAGCCCACACGACTGAAATGGCCTTGTAAGCGTGGGTGTCTTCAATCTGGCGAAATGGCCAAAGCCATGGCGCTGTCAGTTCTGTCAAAGCCTTTAGGTCTCTTGGTCCTGCTTTGTCGTGGTTGGACTGTGGAAGCAAACCTCGAACTCCTGCAGTGTCCAGTCCAGTTTCGGCCTCCCCCCCCACAAAAAGAGGACTTGAAGAGGGCGCGCAGCTCTATCTACCTGGAGTCGACTTGTTCGTACCTCAAAAAATTGCTGCAGTATATAGTACCTGCTTTTTGGTTCGGGTTCGGGCCATGTACCCATTTTCGTCACACGAAGTTGGGTCCCAAGTTCTGCCACTCCGCGGCTGTCCAAACGAAAGTTGCTGGCCGCCAAGCGTTTGCGTGGCGGGAACGACCGGACCTCATGCCATACTGGACATCCCCCCCCATCACCTTCCAATAACATCCAGTAACACATCCTTTGGGTGGCACAAGTCAACTCCAACAATCGATTGAACCGAACGTGTGGCGCGACTGTCGTGGCCTCGCTCGTGCTTTGGCCTTTGCTTTGGCCTGGGTCGAGGGACTCCCAACTGCACGGCATCGTTCGTGCGTCACAAAATGTAGGAATTCGTGCGCGACCGAACCCAAGGAGGTCCATTGCTGGATGTTTGACGGGCCAGGCGACGCAGGCTGCAGTCAACAAACTTCCAACAGACTATGTTCACTCCAAAAAACGATCTAAAGCTCTGCATCCTTTCAAACAAAACCATAAGAGTTCCATGTCAGAGATGGCGTTCAGAGTTGAGTTTTGGGGCAGCCATAGGGGGGCAAATGAAATTGGAACCCAACATGGAACTCCTGGTACAGTACATGTAAGTTGGACAGTTTCTGCATGTAAGTTGGATGTACCAGCTGCTTCCGTTCGGGGTCACCAATGGTTATCTCCACACTACTTGCAGGTCTTCATTGGGCACCCCTTGGAAGCGCTAGGTAGGATAGAGTTTGGAAGAATTCTTCTGCCGGCCTATCCTACTCAGAGGAGCGCTGGAACAAGCGACAGAACTTCTTACCATGGTTAAGCTGTCCCTGCAAGAGTACTCTGTAGAAGTATATCCAGGTGGTATCAACAGGTCAACGGGTGGTTTCAGGTCTGAAGGTGTTCTTTTCCAGCCGCAGCACCTGGCCGCTTGAAAACGCGCCCCCCAGCACCAAGGCGGCCTTGGCTTCAGCCTCCTTCTTCTTTTTCTCGGCCATCTCTTTCTCCTTCCTGAGAAGTGCGGCAAAAGCCAAAGCTTCGAAGCAAGCGAAACCAAAGGGAAGCGAAGCGATAAAGAGGCGGGGGGGTCTGTGCATTCGGCTCCTCCACTGGGAGCACCTGGGTCTTATAGACTATTTTAACAAATAGCAAACATATCCCCTAGTCAATTGGGGCGCAATTTGACGAGGAACCCACTTGAGGGGTGCACCAAAAGTCTCTATAAAACGATCAAACCAGCCTTGAGACAGCCTATAAATGTGGGCGCCCACCCTGGAGGTCAAAATAACGATTTCAACAATATGTTCTCTATGAAATCAGGAACGACATGCGTAAGTTGTCGCAAGTAATCCAAATAGGCCTTACCCCTGACCCTATTTAAGAATACTGTAAATACACAATAAACATGCACATGACAATTTACAAGAAGTTTTGACAACACTTTTCCGTTTCTGTCTGATAATTTTCAGTGTGTATACAGCAATGTTATAAGGAACACACCTGTACCAAATATTTGTTTGAATATTTAGCTATAGTAATTTAGGATATTTTAGGTGGGTACCCAACCCTCCAATAAAACCCTTGATGTATGGTCCATTGTATTTATTCACATCTAAGTCATGTCTTCTCTACAAAATCCGGAATTGAGTTTCAGAATGATTTCTCTAATAGAATTGAATTTGTCTTTCTCTCTCAAGTCGGGCACCCACCCTGATCAGATAAATCAGGACTGTAATCAGATCTATTTTTTAAAATAACAAAACACTATAATTGATGTTTGTTGGGGCGCCCGATTTTTGAAAAATGGCAAACAAGTTGCTTTTCTCCGAAAACAAACTGATTTTGGGCCCCGAGGGCATCCAATTGTACAAGAGGATGCCAAAGTGATACAATTAGCTGTCGGGGGTAAGGAACTCCCGTGGTCACACTCCGAACGGCACCCTGTTCAATTTGGTGACTTTTTCATTTATCCCGTGGTGGCTCCCTTCAGCTGGCTTCTGATCAACCAACCTGCTGAACCCGATCAAGGATCGCTTCTTTCAGCTTTTCCGCCTGGGCACAGCGACACGATTTCGATTGGCAGATCGGAGGCGGATTGCGCAGGCTTTGCGCCAAGTAGACCGGTGACGTGAGGCACTGGGAAGAAGAGTTTGGACCCCCCCTGTCCGACCAGCAGTTCTATGATGTTCTATGGAGTCAGGCGCCGAACTTGGCGCATAAGGGGTGCCCATGGTCGTCATTACAGCAAGGGACATGACAATACATGACCCTCGTAAATGCAGGTCCTTTCACCCATTTTCTGAGGTACTTTAAGACTCCAGGTAGAAACCATTCCGTTGGAACTGCTGGTACCTCACTCTTCGTCGCCGGTCGTCATGCCATCCGCCGCCCCGGGCCAGGTCCGCTCTCACACTGTGAGAACCGGGGGTTAGGGTGATCCCGAGTGTCAGTGCGAATGCTGTCGACAGCAGACCGCGCACCGACTTTGGGACAGCTACGGCCCACATACCTCATCCTCCCTAGGTGCTATCCGCATCTCTCCAGCAAACGAGTGCTCCTTTGCGAAGTGGATCCGTACGGAGTGGCTTGGTGGCCGTCATCCGTGAGGCTATACTGACGCACAACTGCCGCCAGGGATGCTTGGGCTCAGCTGCTTGGTGCATTGGGCTCAGCTGCTTGGGGCATGTCATCTTCAGAAAACCGATGACCAAGAAACACCTTCCCCTCCACCGACCGTCCAGAACCCTCCGATCCTCACAGGTCCTTTTCGCTGCAGACCTGTCTCTGAATACGTACTCACCTCCCTTCCACCCTTAAAGGAGGTGGACTATACAGTATATCACTCCCACCCAAACACTCCGTGTTTAGCATATTTACATACACATTGAGGTGGCTGACCGACCGCAAGTCAAAGGTGTGGCATATATTTGCAGTACATCCAGTCCAAAAGACCCGGGAGATCTCTAAATCCCAATGGATCGCCGACCCACTCAGCCTTCGCCTGAGCAACCGTCTTCTCCTCTTCGGCATCCGCCTGTCGTGAAACAATCAAAATACATTCGTCTGATTTTACATCCTGTGGATGAAATGGTCAACGTATGATGGATTGAAACCCTGCCAGAAGACCCTGTTGGGCCTGCTTATTGGTGATAAAGGTATGACACGGTATGACCATAGAACCCTTTAGAGTGCAAAAAACTCATACCAAACACCTTCATTAGAGCGTCTCTTTCGGTGTCTCAATAAAGTCCGGTCAAATGAGGTCCTTGACCAGTGGAAAGGATCTTCTGGAGCAAGGGCGGTTGCAGTTAAACCACCCCCTGTGTAATCATGCCCAGCTCGAGCCCCCAATACTAAACGAATTTAGAACCTTAATTCCACATGTACACCACCCAAATAATTTGTTTCCCTTACCGGATTAGCCAAGCCCAGCTGCCCCAGAAAAATAACACTATGTTATAATTCTTTTGTATTTTATTTACATTTAGTCCAATATCTTCTGGTCTTTTTGGCTAGTATCCAAGCATATTTCACACAAAATCCCATCAACCATCATCAGGTCCAGGTCATCATCTCATAATCCATCATCAGGTCATCACCTTTATTAATTATTAAGGGGATGTGGTCTCCATATACCTCCAATCTCAATCCTTGTTGATCTGGTTGACCTTGAAGGGGGGCCGTTTATTAATCCAGTGTTGACATTACTGTTAAGGTCTCACAGGGTGTCCAGGCAACATTTACTGTAAGTATTCAAACAAGTGACAAAAAACAAACAACTATCAGAACAAATCACAATAGCATAATATCATTGAACGAGAATCAGCTTACGTTCCCACGCTCTGGCACTTACATCGCCCAAAGAATCGAGAACTTCTCAAGACTGCACCATGTTCTCTCCATGGAAGCCTTTCCCAGGCCCTGGTGACGGCGCGCAACAGCTCGTAAGGCACGATCTGCGTTGTGTGCGTTCTTTCTACGTTGCGCGTTTCATTCCATCGATGACACCTCAACTCGCCACAGAGAGTTCGACACATGTCATGTGCCATGTGGACAGACACATGCATCAAAGACCCTTTCGGAGCAAAAGTCACGTACCTACAAGGCAGAAGTTTGTGTCAAAATCTTCCAGCCTCCGGTGGTGGCTGCTTCTTGGAGCCTTGGTGATAATCAAAAAAGAAAGATATCTTCAAACACATGAAGGCGGTCTTAATCAAAAAAAGACTTGTCGACAAGGTAAACAAGCCAAGCACCATAGAAGGAACGAGTGCTACGCTATTCAGTTAGAAAAGAGCCAGCTTCGCTCGATCATGGTGAGTCCAGTGCCTTTGGATCTGTAAGTATGGCATAGCAAAAGCACCCCAAAAGACACCCTCCAGAAACGCTCCATTTTTGTCGCTTCCATGTGATCTTTTGGGGGAAGCCAGGCACTGCCAGTGTGTGGCAAAGGATTTGGACACCGTCCTACAAAAGACGACGAGAATCGCCTGTTCGCAAACAAGGAGTTGTGCAATTCAATAAAGCATGACCGACCTAAGCACATGGCCTGGAGGATAAAAATACCAATCTGTTCCTAGAGCCCAGGAGTTGTTGCTTGATATTGCTTGATAGTGTCGCTAATGGTATTTTGAATGACAACAAACACATCAATATCGTGATTGACAAAATACTTTGGTGGGATGACACGACACACCTATAGCTAAACCACTGCTTTAACTTACCCTGGCCCCTGAAGTTGTATTGTAGACAGCGGCTATCTTTCGGTTGTAGAATCAGCTAGCAAACACAATTTTGACCCGAAGAAACTGCACCATGCATGAGAGTAAATTATTTGCCACAAAGCCGCAAAGCACAAAGTATCCAAATTGAACCATTCGAATCAAGGCATTTTATACGACCACTACCAATGGAACCACCGGGTTGTTAATCTGTGGGTTTCCCTGAGGCCTGGTCTTTTTCAGGTCGCCGAACTCTGGGATCTGAAAACACACCTTGCAGGTGATGGGAACTAGCATACACGTGGGCGCTAACAGTATGTTGCTTTCGACTTGCATTTCTTTCATGGCTATAGCCCACTCAACTCTCCCTCACTCAGAGAACCCACTACAGCCCGATCTGGGGCTCCTGACTGCAAAGACCTCCAGCCTTACAGATTGAGATCATCAAGGAGTCCCCTTTCTGGACCCATTTACGAAATGGGCTGGAAACATGTCCTGACACGTCGTCACGTAGATAGTGATTCGAGAAGCACTCTGCATCAAGCCCCGCATGTTTGCCGCAGAGTCCAAACTATGACTCCCCCCAAAGTCCTGCGCTGTGAATGGTGTGATGTTCATTTTTGCTTACATTTTAGCTCAGCTGGGTTGGACATTTTACCACAACCAGATTCACTTGTACAAGTGGGTCATGAAGACTTGAAGAAACACTTGGGCCACACCATCCTTGTTTACCTCTTGAAGCTGGTCAGTTCACATCATGAAGACATGTCCATAATCTTCCATATAGCATGCAGGTTGAACCTGACAGGATTTTGCTTGACACCTCTTGGTAGAAACACCAACCGATCAAACACCAACCGTCCGTACGCTCTTAGTCGGTCAACGACTCCTTGGGATCATCCACCAGCGCTCCAACCATAAGCTCCAACTCTGTGGGGAACGGATCCAACGCAGGCAACAAACACCAGCCATATTTGTGGCTTCTTCTATGTACACTGTATACCAAAGGGTCCAGACCATCCGAATCGGACGCCCGGAATGGCCCCAAAGACCGTACATATACTTACTTATTCAAGACCATCCTCAGGAGGTACGTGGACCCTATGCCAATATTAAAAACATTGATGTTCTTCAAGTTCTGCGGCAAAAAGTGGCAACGAGGTACTTCTTGATTGATAGTGTATAGACTATATAGACCTTCATCATCTCCACAAACCACTGCACCTGCGAGACCTCCTGGGCCTTAAGCAATACCGCTTCGAAGTGGATATATGTTTATAGCTTAGCAAAACCTCCTCTTGATGTCATTCTGGTTAAGGAGTTTCTGAAGGTTGGTACACTTCTTGAAAAAGTGTATATATATAGTGATTCACTTGCTCATCGGCCCCGGTCTGCCCCTGCACCTGCCACAACTGCCTCAGGACCCAAAAGGGATGCGGGCTGAGATTGCTTGTGCTTGACCTGCTATGGTCCATCCCGATGCAACACAGATTTGGCTTCGACAAATCTGTCTGCACACGCGTGGGTCCCCTGCCTTGGCTTTGGCTTTCGGCTCAGCAAAAGCACCCTGGGCGAAGGCGCAGGATTGTTTTGGGAAAGAGAATCAAGTTTTGAAAGCTGCAGTGGCAGTTGCCCCACAGGAATGGTGTTTCGAGAGTGGTTTGGTCCACCCACAGTCTAATTACAACAACTATACATGACTTAATTAATGTTGAAACTCGTCTGCTGAAGCACAGTGTTGTCACAAAATATCCACGCAAGTAGACTCGCTAAAAAAAATCGGTGCCAGCTGGGCGGTCACAGGCCAAGCGCGCCCGTAGATAGACCAAATCATCAAACAAGGACCAATTAGAACCTGTCTACTTTCGCCTTGATGTGTCTACTTGCGCCTGTGGATATTCAAACCGCAAGACCGCTTGCATGCCGTAAGTAGAATAAGTAGACACCTCAAAGAAAGAACAAAGGAGCCAGGCAGCCAGGAAAGCAGGGGAGTTGCCTTCGGTCATGCGAGGTCGATCTTGGGAAAGTGGAAAGACATATGGAGAGTGGCTGGATGTAAGACACTTGCAGACCTTGCTTCTTAAGTGTTGGAATAGTTTGTCCATCTACAAAGCCCAAACTGAACTGGTGGAAGTCACAGGACCAAGCTGGGTTCAGGATGATGTTACAGCTGGCCGCTTATTATTTGGTTGATTTCTTCGAGACATTAAGATATACCCAATATGTATGTTATGTTAGTTATACTGTACAGTATCTAACAGGTTACACACCCTGCGCCCTAGCCCTGTGATGGAGTATATATATAATATATAATATACATTGTTCCTATAAATGCTGGCTGATCTCACAAACAAACACCCAAACAAACAACATTATGGACAACATGGAACCTGAGCTTGCTGGACACCCATGCGTCACTGAGAGAAACCTTGAAAAAAACAAACTCTGAATGAAACTGATCTTTGCTATAACCCACCTGTTTTATGACAAACTGATAAACCCGGAATATAAGGAAAAACAACCACCGAACCCAGACCTTTAGCTGACATTGCGAACGTGTGTCCTGCTTTGTCTTCCGTCCCTGGCTCCGATACGCCGGCGCTCGCCTGGTCATCCTGACGGTGCATCGAGGCACATGGTTTAGAAAGGATAGGGCGAGCCTATGGCATTGTCTGCTGTCAACGCCTGTTGGTTCTCTGACCCCTTGCCATTTGCACAAAGAGGCGTCTTGTCGGGTCTCCCGATTTCGAGCAGCATAGATCAACCTATCCCCTACACACATGAGGGACCCAAAGGTGACTGCCTGGGTAGTACGTTTCGGAGGTTTGCACTATCGCCAAAAAAGCATTCGTTTCCTATAGAGGACTCAAACCGGAGGTTGACAACGGGCGGTTGTTGGTGGGATCTGTCTAGTAGACCTTCTTTGTGGATGTGGGCTGGGAGCCCATCTGGAATGTTTACTTCGCACATTTGACCCCATGAGCTTTCAAACAAAGAGATCTGAACATCTGGAGCTTCCAAGTTCATATATCCCTAGGGATTCACTGCCACCTTCTCAGAAGGTCTTTGGACTCTCCAAAACCTAGGACATCACAGTGTCGACTACATCACCTTCTCAAAGGGTGTCCATAGGGCTAGGGCATACATGTACCTCGAGTCTCAGTTTGTACTTCAGAAAATGGCCACAAAATACTACAAGTACCATCAAGTATATACTCGATTGTTTATTTTGTTTTCTAATATCTCCGCGTACCTCCTCAGAAGGTATTTGGACCCCCTAAACCCACCCCAAACACCTTCTTAGAAAGTACTTGGAGCCCGGGATAGGGTGTGAAATTCGGAAGTTGAAGTGGACTCGCCACCTGCGACGGCCGAAGAACAAGTCACCAGCTCACCAGGTGACCACCGAGTGCCTCAGCCCGCGCCTTTGGGGCGGAGGCGCAAAGGCCACGACGCGGTGGCGGTGGCGTCTGCGACCAAACGTCAGCGGTCGAGCCGAGTCGAGTTCCGAGCACTTCCGCTCCGGTCCGAAAGCAGGCGGCGTGCTCCAACCGGAGGAACCTGGGACCCTGTTGAAATTGGTTTGTTTGGTGTCTACGGCGAACAAACCATATCCTCAGGTTCGGTGGCAAGACAAACCCACCCCAACCAGCTTCTCAGGAGATGGTTGGAGCCCTAAGGTGTGTTTGTTTGTGTCCCAGAAACATAGGACATGACCCCGCATAACCCATGACCATCTTGGGGCCCATCTTGCGGCCCCCCATCGGTACGAACCTCACCCCCGAGCAGTCGTGCAAGGAACCGGAGTTAAAACATGGCACATCTCGAGTTTGGGGCATACACATACCAGGTCCATCCTGTCTGGGTCTGCTGGACTACGCTACACTACTTAGGAATGTCCAGTGGACACCCATTGGATGGTCCAGGTACAGGTATTTTATTAGGTATCTTAGGACCCTCAGGAAATCGGCGGCGTCTCCAAGTGTCTCCAGTGGCCAGTGGTCACTCTCCAAGGGTGGCAGTGGATCTATAAGTGGAACCCGAAACGATCAGCCCATATAGTTAGACCCTCCTAACCCACCCCCAACCACCGAACCTCAGGAGGTAGGCCAGGAGCCCTAGGGACATTTTGCATTGAGGTTTTTGATGATCAAAGACTCCAAAAGACAGGTCGCATGAGTCGCATTTTAAAATGTTTCGATGTACGGGTTGAGTCGCATCGATTGCTTCCCATCACCGCATGGACGGACCCTTTTCCAAGCAACCTCGTGCTTGGTGTTTTCTTGGTCAGTAGTTCAACTTACCTTGATCTAGGTCTGTGAACCACTAGAAAAAGCACGTTCAGAAAAAAAAAAACAACAACACCCATGTCTGACCCGTGTCTCACTAGTAAACGCTCATAATTAGCTTGTGCATAAATGCTCGTGGAATATCATAAAACTAGATAAACATCCGCAGACTCAAATGTAATAAGGCAATGACTTGAACATATCATTTTCACGCCACAGATCAACCAAAAACACACTGAGGAAGTTCCTGGTATATCTGTCCTGTTGCACAAAGCACCCCTGAACAACGAGACAGTCATAGTCCAACTCATACTCTCCAGCAGATCTTCCTACCCCTGTTGATGGTCCCCTTCAAACAGCTTCTCTACAACTTCAACACCAAACTCGTTTTCTCACCCAAATGCATCCAGCTCGCCCAAGTAGAGTCTTCCCCTCTTGGCTTAAGAGGCTCCCCTCTTGGCTGCCCCAGGTCTGGTCACTGGTCCGTCCTTCCATCCTGAGGTCTGGCAGGTCGTTTTCATGGGGTAACAGGTATGTCACTAGTCCCATTCGATTCAACTCATAGCCCGCAATGCCGCATGTCCCATTCCATTCCAGTCCCAGGAATCGTGTCTGGGGCATGTCCCATCCACTCCGCTGTCCTCCGCTTTCCTCGCCTGCCCGGTTTCGGCGACTTTGCTCGAGGTGCTCATCCTGTCGATTATGGCCGGGTCGATTCGCCATCCCCAAACACTCAAGAGGGCAACCCTCCAAAAGATTCGACCTGGAGTCGACCGGTGAAAGCACCTCAGAAAATGGGCGCAGTCCTGTTTGAAGAGAGCCACGTCCTTTTGTGGGTACTTTGGGTGGGGTTTCGATCCAACCCCAAAAAAACACACAAAAATGCATCCGAAAACCCGAACATTCCAAACCCCTCCACCCGACTCCCCACTGAACTGACTGGGCGCCCAGGCAGTTCCGCGGAAGAGTCCCCGGTGGCCGCACGGGCGTCCGGTGGTCGTTCCGCCTGTCCGCTTAGAGGGGTCGGTTTGGTGGCATTGATCTATTGGTGGTACAGTTGGGGTATCTGCTGCAAGTATTCCCCCCCTCAATTCATCGCTCAAGGGTAAAAGGATGCAAAAGGCCATGGCATGGTGTGATGCGTGTCATCCAGGGGCACGTATTTTTGTTCAACGCGCCGGAAGTCGAAACGGGGTTGGGAAAAGCCCAAGGCGTGGATTCCGTGGTCCGTTCTTTTTCTAGGGTTTCCTGGCCCAAAGTAAAATCATTAATGAATCCAGTGCAAGCGTTCTTTTGATGTCAAACAAGGTCATTCCGTCCTTGGGTTGACTTGCTAGAAGTTCAAGAATGGCTTCATCCAGTGAACTGCTAAGAGTATAGTCAATGAGTCAATGTCTGCTCATAGGCAGAACTCTTGCATCGTTGGAACATCCAAGTCTGCCATATTTGCCGCAAAGATAGTGATGCTGACCATGCTGGTGCTCTTTGAACTTTGCTTAGCTCTTTTAACTGCCGCTTCTGTCCAGAAGCACAGTCCACAAAGGCTGCTTGTTGGGTGCCAAAACAAAATGTGATTTTCATGCTTTTGCAGCTATGACTCAAAGACCCCAGCCCAAGTAACTACACCTGATTCCTGACACCCAATGGGAATGGCATATTCACCTACGCTAGGGTTGTTTGATTAGTCAATGTAGGCATTTATTCAGCTACGCTAGGGTGTCTGGGTATAAGATCAGCACCATGTTGATTGAAACCTCCGCTCCAAACATTCTGAATTCCACGACTTTCCAAACCTCCCACTGCCTTGTCAGCCTTCTCGGGGTCCGGCGCCTGGTCCTGGAAATCCAGCGGATTGTGTCGGTCAAAAGGACCTGGAAGGGTTCAAAGGCTTGACCTGAACTAACTGCCACATGTTTGATGTCCAAACAGGATCAAAACCCTAGGCAAGCACCATCTGACGCATCTTATTGTTGTTTGCCGGCTTCCCCGGAAAAAGCACAAATGGACACTCATGAAAGGCATGGTTCCTAAACATGTCAGCATGTTAACTCTGGGGCTATGAACTTTGGACTCACAAAAAAAATAAATTACACACAGCTCTTGATTGGTACGTTGAAAACATGGAAACTCCTGCTTGCCAAGGCCGACATCAAACCTACCTCCAACCTACCCAGTTCCGCTCATTTCGCGGATTCGAATTGCGGGTCTTGGTCCGTCTTGGACATGAAGACCAAAGGCTTCAGCGGATCACACACTTCTGGTCAGACCCTCGGTCCTCCGCCAAGTCCTCCTCAGGCTCCGGGTCCGACTCATCTAAAGCGAAGTCCTGGGGGGGGCCGAAGACAAGCCAGATCCCACTGCTGAGAGTGGTCAAGGGCCTTCTTCAGGGAGTCCAAAGGAGTGGTCAAGGCCCAAGCCCTGCGGATGCAGTGCCAGTATCACTGGAAAATGGACAAGAACGGGTTTTCCAGATGCAAACGGCTCATCATCTCTACATAATCAAAACCCGCAGCTTCATGCAAGAGGACTGCCTTTAACAGGCTCTTGGCAGTGCTTCAACACGGTGGGATGAACATTGAAGTGCCAACATGTTTGTGCTTTTCTTGACCCCGAACATCCCCGAACTCTCTGACATTTCAAACCATCCCTGCCTGCTTCACATAAGGTGGGGGCACAGCCTATAGGAATTCATATCTAGGAAGCCAAACCCCCCCCACAAAAACATACCACGCAGCAAACCAGTTGTGGCCATGCCACCAGGAAAACACACAAACATCCCTCCTGCAGCGCTTTTTTGGCCATCAAGGTGACCTCGCCGTTGCGCTTCCGGGCATCCAGGGTGCGAAAGTCCTCCGTGTGCCAAGTGTCGACTTTCTTTTTGTTTGGCCCAGCGGCTGTGTCGGGTTCGAGTGTTTTAAGCACTGAAACGTCAAAAGAGTCAAACGATTGCATTTGTTGTGGGTTGTTTCATGTAAATTCAGCTGCAGGCAGTATGCAACATTTTGCGCCCAAAGACCAAAAAAAAATTCACCAATAACACCTGAACTGCAGCCTCCGCCAAGAATAACACGGTCCAAAGGAATTGAAATTCACGTCAATTGCCACCCCAATTTTTTTTTCAGCCATTGATTGTAGTGAGGGGGATATGTAAGAACGCCTGCATAACGGGTTTCAATTGTGTAACTCCTAGATGACTGAAGAACACCTACAAAAAAATCAACACAACGAAGTCGAAACATGAATCAGCATGAACATAAAAACACTAAAACAACTATAACGTACAACAGCGACATATTAATCATCATAAACAGTACTTCGAACCCCTGGTTGTATGGCGTTAGCTATCATAGGGGAATTCCGGGAACCCGAAACGGCTAGATCCTTAACTATATTTGAGCATTGCCCCCCCAAAAGGGTAAGAACACCTAAGCACGGATGAAGGCACCCTGACCCATCATATGCAGACATGTCTGCCCAAAAGGAAGTTCCAGCTACTTAGAACATGTTAAATTTACGTGAACCAACTCTACATCGAAAACATGCAGGTTGGCGCCCTTAAAACTCAAAAACAGTTTGACCAGTCTGCACTCCATAGGCATCAACCTAAGGGTTCGCTATGGGCTTGCACGTTCCCCTGGTTTTTCCTGCTTAGCTGGAATCTTCAAGATACACAAGAAGCGGGGTGTGGCCCACCCCCCATCAGAAGTTTGTACTGGCTCACGCTTGTACATTTATGTATAAACACCATCCTTGAGCAAACAAAATTTGAGCCAAAAGCAGGCCCTACGCTAGGATGGCTTTGTGTAGATCCTTCATGGATTTTCCGAAAAGTACTTGGAGGGCCCGTGCATGCACGAACCTTTTCACCGGCGGTTGACAAAGTCATACAGATGTTGCTATCGAACGCGCCAGTCTTTTGTCATTGCCCAGTAACGTGAAGGCCGGGCCATATATGGTCTGTGATCAGAATCCAACTGCTCGGGCCCGGCCCGTCAACATATTCCAAATAAGTGAGGCGGATATGCCGCACACATCAAAGGTCACCACTGCCCGCGCTCGCAACGTTGAAGCTCATCGCATTCTAGATCAAATCGAATAGGAAAACAGTGAAAGGACCAGTCTCCGTCGCCGGCCATTGCCAAATCAATGTCTGGGCACGGTTGGGCACTTTATTTGCAAGCCCTGCGGTTACGTGCAGATCCCCTCCTGCAATTCTTCGCCTTTTTGGGCTTGGGGCGCCACCAGTGGCAGCAAATTTGTTGACTGCAGCGATGGTTTGTGGTGACATGAGTTGCATGGACACACAACTACAGCGTGCCTGCGTAGGCAAATCCAATGCATCCAGCACCACCGCGACAATGTCAGGCTTGACCAAATTGCCGCACCATCGCAGGAATATTCACCACTTTGATGCTGCATCTTAAATCAATGCATGTATACCGACCCGAAGATTCAACCCTTCAAACGACTCAACCCTGGACGAATAGTTTTTTACCAGTATTTCATCCTCAGCAAAGCAGCTGCCAGCGGCTTTGTCGCGTTGTTTTGGAACAATGTGCCTACAGTCCCCTTTCATGCTCACGAGCACTTTGATGCACGCACTTGCAAGCCACTTGATGTTCTGGTTGTCGCAGGTTGTCTAATTGCTTCACTACTGCAGCTGGGTCGATCATGCTGCTGTAGTCCCCACCGCCCACCCTGGATGCGAATAAATCAAATTGGGCAATGGCTTGTGTTGTGGTCCTCTGTTCCCGAGTTTGACATCGAGGGTCGGCCCTTGGCATTTGCTGCTGCAGTCCGAAAAGGAGCTGCTGCGGGCTGGGGTGTGAATAATGGTTGGGCAAAAAACAGACTTGCGCGTTGCACCATCTGTTTCCTAAACACCTTGTTGACTAAGAACCCATTTGCTTTTAAACAGCGACTGGACACTGCAAACGACCCAGGACCTGTAGTCTTACTTGCAAAATATGTATTAAATATCAACGCGGTGGGTAGGCCTGTGAAGCAGTTGTTCACCACCAAATGGGAGATTTGTAGTCAGTAGAAGTATTGAGGAAAAGGGGTGTTTGTTAATAAGTAGAACTAAGTAGGGAAGCGGATCCCTGCTCAGAAATTTGGTGATTGCACGAAGGATCCCTGCTTAAAAAGGGGGTCCCTGTTAAACAATGTGGTGATGGCAAAAAGGACCTGTTCAGATTTTTTGTGGTTGCAAAAAGGGGGCCCTGTTCAACAAAGTGGTGATTGTAAAAAGGACCTGTTCAGAAATGTGATGATTGCACAAAAAGGGATCTTTTCAGATATTGCACGCGCAGCCCCCCGGTGAGATTTCTGAGTGATGTTGAAGTTGATAACGTTACTCGGAAATTTGCACTCCTGCTGAACTCCGCTGCGCTGCAAATTTCCTACGAGATCCTTCAAGTTAAATCTGAGTGGGTGCTTAGAAAGCAAACCTCCCAAAATCTGAGCAGGTGCTGAAAACAAGAAGCACCCTAAAATATGAGAGGGTGCTCAGTGCTCAGAGGAACATCTAAAAACCTGAGTGGGTGCCCCAATTCAGACTAGGCCCTGGCGCTCGGAGAGAACCCTTTGGGTGCTGGGAGAAAAGGCTGTAAACTTTTTGAGTGGGCACCCGGAGTTTGCATCATAATTCGGTGGGCCACAGACCAGGGAGTCACTAAGTCTTCATACGGAATTTGCATGAAGTTGCTACAAAATATATAACAGCAAAGGCTGCGTATGAAAGGGCCCCCCCCTTCGAGTTCCCGCCAATTCTCGACATAGTTTTCATGGGCAAACCCAATTCCCAGACATTTGTGTCCAGAAGAATCGGAACCTTTTCTAGGAAAAGCTGTAATCAAGGCACCATACATGAGCATCCCGCCGTCATCGTCGTCGCCAAACAAACAAAACATCAAACACCTTTGAAAACAACAGCCGCAACAACAACAACAGCAAGGTACAAACAAAGACTGCAGCCCCGTTACAAGATATCTTGGTCCTTTGTCTCTACAAGGGGGTGGAAACAAAATCTGCAACCCCGTTGTTGTTATTTTGACCCCGACCCCCGAAAAGAACCAGCCAACATGTACTCTTACCAGTAGCGGTAGTGCTTGTACTAGTGCTAGTACTAGTGGTACTAGTACTAGTAGTAGTCGTTGTTGTAGTGGTCGTAGTAGTAGTAGTAGTAGTAGTAGTAGGAGTAGTAGGAGTAGCAGGAGTAGCAGGAGTAGCAGGAGTAGCAGTAGCAGTAGTAGTAGTAGTAGTAGTAGTAGTAGTAGTAGTAGTAGTGAGTAGGAGTAGTAGTAGTAGTAGTAGTAGCAGTAGTAGTAGTGGTAGTGGTCGTAGCAGTAGTAGTAGTGGTGGTGGTGGTGGTGGTGGTGGTAGTCCGGTCAGCTAAGCCTCTGTAAAACTTCTACTTAGAACCTCTACCACATCCTAGAGACAAAAACTGCAGCCCCGTTGTTTTTTTTGACCCCCCCCCTCAGAAGATGTTGTTGTCTCTACCCCCCCCCTAGAAACAAAATTTGCAGCCCCGTTGTTGTTTTTTGACCCCCACCCCCCTCCACAACAACATCCCAAAACACATCACAAAACAAGAAACAGACCAACCAAGACTTAAGTACCACAATGACAAGAAGTCCAGCTACTAACATCTCTCCAAACCTTCGACCCTATCCCTAACTGTGTCCCTTTGAAATCCCTGACTTGCAACATGTGACAACTATGTTGGGCAGCTGTTTTTGTCTCTACCAACAACAACAACAGTCAAGAGTCAATAGTATAAGCTTTGATCTGTATCTTGAGGATATACAAGACTAGGTGGCCCTTGTAATCAGGCCAGCAATACGTATAGTGCACTGCCGGCACTTAGAATATGGCCGGAGCATTTGGTTGCAGTTAGAATATGGCATTTTCATGAACGACAGCACAGTTAGAATATACATTCTAAGTGCAATAACCGACCACACATACCTCAGCATCTTTTCCCACCCAAAGACGCCGGAGATGAAGGCTCATGCATATTTACTGGTTGCACATCTCCCTTGAGGCAAGTGTGATTGGATTGACACACGCTGCGTATATTCTAAGTGTGGTGCGCACATTCTATGTGGATGTGTGTGGAAATTCTATCTGCGCGTCCGCGGACAAATGGACAAGTGACCTTGGGACATATGGACCAAATCAAAAAAATTCTTTTGGTCATATTCTAAGTGCTAGCTGTCCACTATATAGCTTCTGCAAAAGCTGTTCCCCTTTGCTTTTGAATCTTCAATCAGGTCAGGCCAGCGCATCTTGGTTGCTATGGAAAGCTTGCCAGCCCAAGTGGTGGCTGGCCCAAGTCCAGGCCAATCACTCCTAGCCCAAACCCCCTCTTCCACAAAACAGCGCTCATGCGTTTTGGCGACAACTCGAGGGGTGGTGCCAGGCTGGGGGCACCTCAGACCTGGCACCAACCCTGGCCCCCCGTCCAAACAACCATCCCCCGATAAATTCATAAGGCTTCGTGCGTTTCACCACAGCTCCCATCTGGGGCGGGTGGGCAGGGTGCAAGCAAGGTTGCGGTTCCTGAACAAAGAACACCTGTTCAGAACAAAATGCAGCACCTGAACTCAAGACACAACATATTCAACCCAGAGTATCCCTGCAACGTTCCCATGCATGTGCTTGTGGTACAGCAACAAAAACAGAAACTTATGGAGTGTTGAACCACTTCAAAGCAACTAACCACATCAGCTTTCGATCTTCGGGCCCTGAACCTTCGGAGTGGATCCGGACCTTGGCACGCAGAATACCCGTGCGCACCGAAGACTTCGACAACAACACAACAACTGAACATGGGACATGGACCCAGCCAACAAACAAGTACGCGCGCCTGAGACTTCAGGTGGTGTGGTACCCAGGGAGATGGTCTGGACGCAAAGCTCCTGCACCCAGGGAGGTCCTTGGCATCTGGCTCCGGCAGTTGCAAAGCTTCAGGCAGCTGAAGAAAGGCATCCTCAGCTTCGGTCCGCCCCAGGACCTTGGGTTCGTGATCTCCTTGCATGCTTTAAGTCTAATTGGTGCTTTGATCTGGTCCGGGATTGTAAGCAACCTCGTTGTGGGTTTTCAAAGATGGTCACTTTGGGGGATCCTGGCCGGTCAACAGAAGAAACGCCTATCTCCTTTAATTGTGACATCACTTACCCATCCAAGGGTGCCATCGCCCTTATTATAGGAACCTGTTGCTCATTTCGTACTTGGTTTACAACCACCGTGCAGCAAGAACAGTTCTTCGTCAGGACACAAGTATTCCACAGGTTCGTGGTGAAAAGGAACACATTGCAACCCATAGAAGGCGCCATTTCCTTTCGTTGCCTTATACAGGTCAAAAAAGTGACCGAACCCACCAAAGCACCATAGGAACACCAGGACAGGAACCAAAAAGGAGACATGGATACACATGGACATACTTGTTTCAGATGTGGTGGTACTTAGAGTTTTGTACCTTAAATCTGCATCTTCAATTATCTTGAGGCGTTACTAAAACCTCTGGAACCCAGGAACAAAACCAAGTTTTTGACACAATACAAAAAAAGGAACGGTCAGGAGTCAATCTTGAGCTGGATGGTATTTGGTTCCTGCGCGTCCATCGCAACCTGCAAGCGTTGAGCACTTGGCCTTCCCAAGCTCTGCTTCCCCTGTTGGGCCCTCACCTTTAGCCGTGCCTGCGGTCCTCAAATGCAACAGCTCCTGGACTCCTGGACCAGGCCACATTAAAGCTCGCGGGAATTTAGCGACTCTGGAGCTCAATACAGACGTCCAAAATCTCTTGAACAGCTTGATGAAATTCTGTATCTTTGATGGCCAGTCTCTGGGAGAGCGAACGCAGTGAGTTCTGGATCGTGGCTCACAGCCTCGTAGGTCCACCGCATATGTGGTGTGGCTAACACGACAAGTCCAAACGGAGGGGATGCGATCCGTTGATCCAGGAGTGCCCAGCCTGCCCAGCCTGCTGGCTGCCGAGGCAGCCACTTCCGGGAAACCATACATGCGTGTCTTCGCGCAGCAAAGACCGCGGAAAATTCAGGCAAACTACATAATCGAATAATTCGTTGTAATACTGTATTGTCGTGCAACCCCCGTGTGTTTGCTTTTGCTTCCTACTTAACCCCTGTGCGGTCTCACATTCTATATGTACATGACTGATGCCATTGGCTCATGGCTCACTTCAAAGTGAATCCAGTGAATACTTGCTTTGCACGCTTTCGCACTTGTTCCACTTGCATTCGCATGGTCCCTTTCTGGACCTCTGAGATAGCGGCAGCGTTCCGCGTCACCAGGGGAACCACTGCGGAGTATGGCAGTGCCAAGTGTGTATCCCCAAAAAGGACAAGGCCGCCATCATATGGAAAGTGTCTCGTTACGAAAACAACGCGTTTGCCAATATGCATGTGTGAGTGTCCAAGAATCACATGCAAACATATGTGGCAGGCGCCGTGTTTCCTGCACTTCCGAGAAGCCCCTACGTGAGTTATAGGAGGTTCATCTGGACCCACATGATCTCAGGATACTTTCTTAGCTCCAAATAGCCCTTGGTCCCTCAAAACCTATGGATTTGAGACCCCAGACGCCTCCATATAAGGGTCCCTCTGCATATGAGGGTCCATTGTTCATGAGCGTCTGGGTACGTATAAAGATGTATATACATCTATGAGTTGTTTGATTTTGGACATCTGAAACTTCTCTCCCAGCTGCGATGGTGTGTTCCAAGTCGGTGAGGCCCACCAGATCGTCCTGGTCCGCATCGAAGAGGCCTGAAAGCGGGTTATGGAGTACAGCATGTATATACATGTATTTCGACCTGTGGTTATTGGATCATGTCCCAGTTTCTAAGATGCTTTGGAGGGTCCAGGTACCAGCTTATAGGCTCATATCATCTCATATCTCATTTTCTAGGGTCCCACCTGGAGGTCCAGGTGGAAGGGAATGGTCATCCACCCGCACAAACGAGCGTACAAACGATATCACCCTAGGGCTCTAACTACCTCCTGAGAAGGTAGCTAGAATGGGTTAGCGGATGTTAGCGGGGTCTAACTACCTTCTGAGGAGATAGGCCGGGAGACCAAGAGTCACTGAGAGTTCCGTAGCCATCTTTGCGTCTATCTCCCGGGAAATCGACCGCTCAACTGGCCGGAGGTGAAAGTACTGCCACTTGGTAGACATGCACAAACATCCGATCGCCAAGGAGTGCCTGCAGCCAAGAAAGCACAATCTTTGGTCAAAGTGGGATGGTCAACCCAGATTTACTGAAGAGAACTTGTAAACCTCTTTCAACGTTCTTGAGGTTCTTCTTGGTCATTACGGCCTGACACCTGTGAACTTTCAGCACTGATCGGAGATCCCGCCAACAAACTGGTCCAAGACTTGTTCCAGATTTAACAATCAGTATGCTTTATAATGTTGGTTTCCATATACGTATGGCCTTAAAGGACAATCCTCATCCCCCACTAATTGGAAATGTGATACATATGTCATCGTATGTCACATATCTTACCATATATAGTAGCATAATTTATCAAATACAATATGTATCCTGGATAAATACGTTCTTCTCCCGGACTTCTTCTCCCAGTTGTTTTTCTTCAGCCCCTTCATCTTTGGGCATGCCTGGAGTCGACCTGTTCGTACCTCGGAAAAGGAGTCCAAGTAACCAGTTGTTGTTAGGGCCTTGTCCCATTTTCAATTGTACGAACTGCAGAGTCCAGGTAAATCCAAGGTTGTGATCCCAATTCCTTTCCTCCACTGGATTGATCAAAGTTTGGAACTCCTGTGTTTTCACGTCTTCCAAGTCCTGCTGTAAGAAATATGCTGCTGAAACCACCCGCGAAAAGACAAACACCCACGCACAAAACACCCTGGGTGTTCCCATCTGCTCCCATACCATCTCAGCCTCCTCGGCTGAAACAATCAAGCGAGCGCCGACTCCACGTGTCCGTCGCCCCTCAAACCCCGCGCATCGGCGTCGATCTGCGCTCGCCTCGATCTGCGGACCGCTCCACGCCGAGCGGCAAAAGAGGAGCTCCAGGAGCTCGGTCGCATCACCCTTCATCAGAAGTCCATAGAGGCCCAACACCTCATAGCCTGACGGTGCGGTGCGGGCCCGGTTGGCAAGTATGTCTATATGCTAGGGCTGCAACCACCTCCTGAGAAGGTGGTTGGGGTGGGTTTGGGGGGTCTAAGCCTGACCAAAAGGTTAATGTTCCCTGTTCGTTTGCGGGGTCTGTAAGGAGTCACTTCATGGTGGAATTCTTCCGGGTCTGAAAGGATTCCTTTCAGTGGATTCTTATCCAGGTCTTTCGCGTCCAGGGTCTTCGGATTGATCTATATGGGCTGCAGACAAATCAAGGATAAACCGGTTTGGGGGGGTCTTCGGAACGCCCTCTGATGCTCCGAACGACTGTGGAACGAACCAACTGGAGAGGGAAGACACGGTAAGACTCTGGTGCAGCAGCATGTCAAGCACTGGGGCAAACAAAAAGCCTCTGAGAGCCCCGGAAGGTACCGTCCTCAGCACAGATTCGAGCACCAAACGAATATTCTAATCGGCTAAACGGCTAGACTTCCAAGATCTGGAAAAACCATTGATCATCATCGATCTTTGAAGCATCTTCTTCATCCTCTGAGCACCGCTGACCAGGTCGCGCGGGTTCGCGCGCCCTAAGCCCAAAGCCCTGAGGTCCATTTCGCCGACACCACCCCGTCTGGGACTGCCATCTGCCCGAGAAAAGGCCAGGGGTAGTTGAAAAAGGTTCTGGCGGGCGGCATACCTTCCAGTCTCTGACAGGTCGAGCACCAAAGAAAAAAGGGCCCCCGAGAGGACCCATGAACATATATAGATGCCTGTACCAGGACCGCACAAGGGGTGAAGGACACCCCGAATCACCCCGAAATAGGGAAATAAATAGATACCCCAAACAGGGGGCCTGGTACCGGTCTATAGATAAACACCGATTCATAGCATCTCATTGACCAGTTTCAAACAAGAGAGGGTTGCAGCTACCTCTTCTTTGGGCCCTGCAAACACGTTAAATCAATAGGATGATAATTATGCCAACGATGGTTTTCCTCTTTATTGTGGGCCAGTCAACCTCTCCATCAGAAGCCTTCATGGGGGCCCTCCAACGCAGGCCACGGAGACAGCAGCCGAGACGCAGGTCAACAGCTTCCGCCGTAGCTGCTTCTCATCCTCGGCCAAGCGCTGTGCTTGGCCCAAATGGAAGAGTCGCCTCCAAAGCGAATGCGATTCGGGTGAATGGCCTCAATGACTTGAATGGCTCGGGGCTACCTGGGCCGTTCCCAAACGCCGAAGTCTGCTATAGCTGGGTGTCCAGGTCCCAAACATCGAATTGCCAAGTCTGTGGAAAAGACATCCATCTGGCCCTAGTTTCTGGGAGCACACCATGATGATGTGTATGGTGAGTTCTCTCTACTGTACGTGGCACCATTTATTTATACAACTGGTTCCTATTACAAAGACAAACATCCACTATCATCATCTATCATCCACTATTATAGTTAATCCGTATATAGTTGATCCCTTCTTTGGAAGTTGCCACATGACAACATGATGCAAGTTTTCTACAAAAGAACAAGTGCCACCTGCTCAACGCCCGCGCAGAAATTCTACTCTTTGTGTGCCACAGTGGGGACGCGCATGGTCGAGCCTATAGATGGGTTGTGCATCAGGAAGACGCGGATCCAATGGCAGCACCTGCAGGGCGTTGTCCCGGAGAAAGCCTTCGTCCTGAGTCACGGACAGATGTTGGGTTGTATCGCTGCTGGTGGAGCAGGGTCTCCTTCTCCGGGTTTGCTTCTACGAAAGAGAAGGTCCCCACTGGTTCCTCACTGAAGACTCCACGGACTGAACCAGCAAAGGGTGGTCACAGTGGTCTATGAGACGATCGACCTGGAGGGGTTCAAACCCTGGATGGCAGTCCGGACTGCCATAGATCAATTGACCCCCCTGGCACCCCTGGCCTGATCGGCATCGCAGTCCGGTCCGGGAAATTCGTGTACATCAAACAACACAATTACCTCGAACTTTGTTACGGCCCAAATTATTGCCTCGGGAGTCCGTGAGGAGGGCCGGTCATGAGTCATGGCCCACTTTTTACAGGGTACAGAGGGGTTTTGGACCCTAGGGACTTGTGGAGTCCCAAGGGACTTGCAAACTGGCACCTGGATCCCTATCTTCAAAGAGTCATCCGCCAGGTACTTCCAGTGAACCCGTTAAGTGTCTTCCCTTCCAAAAACAAGGTCATCAAGAATCGCACTCAGAAGCGAAGACTTGGAAGAATCATATGAGGGGTGTCAAAAACCATCCGGAACTTTTATTAAGATTATAACAACCTTTCGCCAATCCCTTCGCAACGCTTTCGCGGCTGCATGTTTTGCTTTCGCCGACCCACTTCACCCGACAACCTCTTTAGCTAACCCTTTCGCCGAGTTTCTGCTACTTAATGCTACTTACATCTAAGAAAAGTATCAGCATGCATCAGCAAAGGGGAATCATTCCTCATCTGCAACCACTGCTTTCGCCACATCTTCGCGAACCTTTCGCCAACCTTTCGCCTGGTTATCATGAATCTTTGGATGACATGCTTTGTACTGAAAACCTCTTCGCCAACCCTTTCGCAACAAAAGCCATTCATCAAAAAATCAGAGCCTTTCTCCAAACCTTTCGCCAAGCTTTCCCCAACTGCAGTTTTCCTTTCGCACAGATTCATAATCTTGAGTCCTACCTAAATTCTTTCATAGAGGTTTATGACGTTGCTCATATGTCAAAAGCCATAGGGAGACTTGGAAGAACCACATTTTGAGTGTGTACTTTGCTGTACTTACCACACAAAGGGAGAACCGGCCGGCTCAATGGGTAGATGGTATCCTTCTTTGAATTTCAAGGTGAACTTGGATGGACCATTCTCTACTTAGAAAGAACGGGGCATTCACTTTTGACCCCTTTTCTACGGAACCTGGGCATGTAGATGGTTATTTTCTCCCCTGCAAGGTTAGACCGGACGCTGGGCTCTCGGACGCCTTCACGCTGGATGGCCTGCGCGGGACACACCGGGCGAAAAGCATCGGCGGTGGGACCCGGAAGGCCCGTTGTTTGCTTTCTTGTTTGCACAGACTGGCCAGTGTGATGTTTTAAACATATATAGTCTTCCACTCAAGAGAAGGAAAACGATGGTTGAGGATCGATGAGGATTGTATGTCTATACCTGTTTTGTGGGCAATCTACCAGATCTAATGTTCTAGCCTTCCGATTCAGCCAATGCATCCCAATGCAAGACCGCAGCGGTAGCAAGATGCTAGCTTTCGTGACAAACTGCTTGGACTTCAACTGCATGCGACATGTACAATTGCAACATCATCGGACCACCAAACAAAACATGACCAGGACTCCGAGTGAAGGGATCGTAAGGGATCTTGAGATCGCTCCAAAGACCTTTTCAGGAGGTACTTCGACCCTCCAAACCAATCCCAAAGACCAAAGGCCTGAGGCCGACACGAGGCGTTTGGAACTTGGAACCCTAGGGTCTTTCGATCGGTCAAAGTCGAGTACCCATGATTGCCAGTGTTCAAGATGCTTGGAGGCTGGGTCCCTCCAGTCACCTACTAGAAACTCCCCGCGTTCACTTCCAGTCTGAGGGGTCTCTGAACTCTTGGCACAGTGGATCAGTGGACGACATAAGAAGGCCGCCGTTTCTCAGTGCAAAAAATCTGCTTATGACTACTTCTTGTCCACCCCTTCCTCACTTTATTCAAAAAATGCCCTTCCTCTGCTCTCTACTGTTGAAGATATGCGCCGTTATCCCACCTTCACCTCCCCCGAACAAACACCCCAAAGACTGAACCCTCTTTGGAACGAGACTGGCACAGACTCGCACCGAAGTCATGGACAAACGTCCCGGACATCCTGGGAGTGGAACGATGTCCGAGCGCTCGCGGCATAATTAATAGTTCTGAACATTTTCTCCAGCCGTTGACTCCCTTTGCCAGGAGATCCCGAAAAGAAACATTAGATTCCAAGCAGCTCAGGCTTGTTAGGTATTTTGGGTGCTACATTTGGGACCATAAATACATCCTTCTGAGGAGGTCCGGTTCTCCACTGCACTGGGTCGGCGAAACGCGCGAAGCGCGGCGTTCGCCTCTAAAGTCTGCCGGAGCTCATTGCAGGTGGCCAAGCCCAAGCGCTGCACGAGCAGGTCTTCAGGATCCTGGTGAGACATGGTGATGATGGTGACAAATGCCTTGTAATACCGCCATGATGGTGGTAACCTGTCGGCAGTGGATGGCACTGGCCGAGGAACACAAGTCCACCACCGGTGATGTCTTGCCTGTCATCTGGTTCCCCCGTTCGGTGCGTCGACGGCGGACCGTTCCGAAGAAATGGTCCGACGCCGAACATGCCATGGCGTCATGCCTTCGAGTGGTGACTCACACGGCTTCAATGCTTGACTTTCACTTCTGTCTAGTCTCCAAGAACAAACACAAAAAAGAATACAAAACCGTTTCTGGGTGCCACAGGCAGTAAGAGATGTAACATATGGCGAACCAAAAGAATACGAGCTCCAAGGAAGTTCGATTTTTGCAGGGCCTTCAGTTGATCTCGGAGTCTATGACCTGTCTAGACCTATTGGTGACCTCAAATACGATATCAAGTTCGGCTTCGAACGGAAGAACGGATAGACAATGGTTCTTATTTCGGGGGGGGGTCCTTCATCGGTAGGGCTATAATGGATGAATAGGTTCATCTACTTTCAGCAGCCCTCACCCCTGTTTTGTGGACATCTCTGGTCTCTAGATCAGGCATTCACACGTCTAAGATCAAGCACAAACAAACAGTTGATGATAAGAAATCACACCACCAAACCTGAGCAGTGCCAAACATAACAGACCCTGCCATGAAATTAAATAATCTTAAGTTTCAAGAACCATGGACCAGTTTGACAAGTTCGCAAATGTTTGGTAGGGGTCCACTGCTCTTCAACAATCTATCGTGAAGCGAACCTAGGTTCAGCAGAAGCCTTCTTCTACCAAAACAAACACGTCAGCAAACTAACTATAGGTTCACACCTCGACTCAAATGGCTCGAGGTCGACAACCACCCAAATTGGGCAGCAAGATGTAGCAAGATGCATCTTCGCTCCTGTCTCGGCTTCCGGATTCCCGCCTCCAAACTTGCCCGGAATTGCTCCCGCGGGCCCACCAGTGCGCAGGGCCTGACTGCTCCAAATTGAGCTCGATCCCACCGCTGTTCCTATTATCGGGATATATATATATATACATACCCTGAGAAGGTGATGTTCTCGACACTGTTATAGTTTATGTAGGTTTGGAGTTTGGAGGGTCCAATTGTACCTTCTGTGAAGGTACGGCGGCAAGATCCCTTAGGGCTTCTGTGAACTGAGTCGCTTCGATCGACTCCCTGTGATGATGATCCTCGAAGTCCGAGATCATCGGAGGAATTGTATGGTCGTGGTACCCGAGTCGCCCAACTGCTTGGAAAGGGTCATATAGTGGTGGTTTTTTTCCCATGTTCTATCGGGTACGAGTCTAGGTGGACAAAAATCAACGTTCCACCTCTCCGACTCTTGATGTCTCCAACTCCCCATGCCAGGGTGACCTGCAGGATGTCCATGTATATACTTCCCGAAGTCGGGAAGTGGCCCGGTGACCCGGTTTGGTCAATGGAGGTCTTCTGCAGATGGGATGAGGACGCATGGTCCCATGGTCAACCCAAAATGAACCACTGGAGGTTCGAGTTCCTGGAACCTCAAAGGACTCCTAGAAATGCCGACCGTCGCACCAGCATTTTGTTTGGGTCATGTCCCATTTTTTCGAGGCTACGAACGAAGTCAGGTCCAGGTTGTTCTTTGGAGGGATCAAACCATTTCGAATATGAATTTCTGGTCTACGGGCCGTGGTGGTGGTATTTTTTTCCTCAGCAAATCTCTGCACAATGGTCCGAGCCTTATGCAGTGGTAAAACAGGCATATTTTGTGTTCTGCTTCATCAAGAGCTTGTCAATCTTGCAAGTGACTTTATTAAGTTAATCCATGGTGAACAAAAGATGAACACCAAACAAATCTGTCCAACAAATGAAGGCCTCCAACCACCGATATCGACCTCGAAGCAAAAACACCTCGACCTCGACATCTTCGACTTGACCCAAAAAGTCTTCAACATTGAAATCCCTACAGAGGTTAAGTGACCTTATAGGACCCTACAGGGGTACCTATATATATGGTAGTCCATAGGGTTCTTTCCCCCCAATGGCCTCCGACGGGTACCTTCTTCACCACCGGACGCGACCGGCGCCGGGCCTGCGACCGAAGAGGAGTCGTCGTCGGCGTGCCAGAGACTTTTTCTTTGCCTCCTCCGTCGCCTCCGAAATACGGCAGCAGGACTTTGGTCGGGGAAGTACTTGTACGTGGGCCAAGGTATACACCTTTTGAAGGCTGATAGAAGATGAATCTGTTTTTTGTTCAATCAAGTAAAGCGAGCAATCTCAAGTCTGCAAATGTTAATCCGCCGACCCTGGTCTAGGCGGATGAACGTGAGCGTGAGCGGTCCGGTGAGCGTCGGGGCGATGTCACTCTGCCGTCACATTCACAAATATCTGCCAAAAAATTGAAATTGCCATATATATATAATATATATATATACCAGGACCCACAAGGGGTGGTTAATGGACACCCCTCAACCTCTTAGGGGGTCCTGGATGGTCCTGGTATATATGCATTAATTCTAGTGCCTGGGTGACCGTCAAGGTCTTTTTTGCAGGACAAACGTTGCCCAGGCCATGGCGCCGGGTTCGGTTTGGCCCCTGCGTGCTTCACTCCTCCCGATGACCGTACTAATATTAGCCATAGAGGAGATAGGGTTTAGCATGTCTTTAAGCGTTTTCTCTTTGGTTTCTGCGCAATTTTGCGGTGGCCATAGCCATCCAGCTAGGCTGCTAGCTAGTCTGCCAGCTCAAGAAGGTCGCAAGAGCTCAAAGGGCGTCACAGTCGCGTGAGCAGTACTGAGAAGTCGCAAGTCACTTATTCAAACGCTGATTCTCGGTTGGCTGCCTTGAAGGCTTAAGGGTTGATACCCCAAATCTCCCAAACATCATATACTTGACGCAGGGATCAATATCTCCTAGAACCCTGCACCCAAGTTCTACAAACATAGAACCAACATGGCTCTATGTTTGTAGAACTTGGGTGCAAGTTATCCCAAACATCGATCAACCTTCCCTTCAAACTCTTCACTCTGAGGTGCAGCTTTGACCTGTCTTAGAGAGAGATTACTCCGCAATAATCTGTCATGTGAGTGGCCTGCTACCCCAACAGCTCGGCAGGAAAATTGCATTCAATACATATGAAGAAGTGGTACACCTGCAGTTTGAAGGTACCTCGGCAAATGGGTACAAGTTCCTGTTTTTGTTGAGTCATGTGCCATTTTCCAGGGTACTTGAAATTACTTGGAGGGTCATGGAGGGTCTAGGTATCTTTACTTATGGTTCTGGAGGGAAAACAGCGCTCCTGAATCAGGACTGAAGCGTCAAACCTGTCCACAACGTGGTTTGCCCATGGAAACTGTTCCATACCTGCACACTCCAACTTACTGCATCTCTTTCTTTGGGGCAGCTGGAGCACCTTTTACAACACAAAGCAAACTCAAACCCTTGAAACACCATGTTGCAATGGGAATCCTCTTCCAGGACAGATTTGTCCAAAGCAGGGTCAACCCCTTGTGCACCGTGGGGTCCGCCACTTCAAGGCCATAGCGACGTCCCAGTCGCCATGATCGAAACCCAGCGACGTCCCGGTCGCCGGCCTGGGTGGCTTTCTTCGAAGCGCCACCACCCATGGCTCCAGCGGACGAGAAGCCGTCGTTTACGACTCTCAAGCAGTCATCACATGTGTATTTGGAGCGCTTGGCTCGGTATTTTGTGAGACCAATCGGGTGCCGGATTGATTGGATTTGCTGCAAAGTGCATCAAAGTGCGTCATCCACTTGGGCGTCTCGTTTTTGTGTTCATCTTTCAGTCTCAACATTCGGGTGTCATGTTCTGGTCGTGATCGTGGTGCCTTCATCGTTCAAATGCCAAAAAGACCGTAACTGTTGCAGCACTAGCTTTACTCCTGTTCGCATCCACCTGTTTGCATCTCGTAGGACAAAATATCATGAACAAGGAAACACACACACACACACACCCAAAGGCTTTATACTTTTCCTGGGTAGATCCATCTCCGTCCTTTCGTTTGTGTTGCTAGGAAGAATATCAACAACATCCATCCAAATCGCATTTGGACATTTTTACTCATGATGTCGCCCTTCACTTGATCGAGCCCAGATGTCGGATTTCGTGGTGATTGCTGGCCTCCAAAGGTCCTCACAGAACTTGGAGCTCCTGGGGTCTCAGTTGGAATTCCAGTCTACAACTGCCATGTTACTTTATAGGGTCTGACGACTTCCTTCGTACCCGAAGGACAATGGGACTTCGGAGCCGAGTCCAAGAAAAAATACAACAGAGAGGTACGTCGAGTCTCAAAAGTACATCATCAATTCCGAAAACGGCAACCAGTATACCTGTTTTAAAGAGGGTCGTAGTCTACTCCACCAGAAATTGCTCTGAAAGCTCGAAGACTTCAAGGAACCGATCCAACGGTAGGATCGAAACAGAACAACGTCTCGCCACCTATAATTCTACCCCCGCAGTCCCAGGCTAACCTTCTCAGAAGGTATCTAGATCGACAGTCGAAGTGTTTCTTCAAACAACCAGTTCTCGCGAAAAGCATCTAGACCCTGTTCTTTAACACACAACATACATAAAACCACCGAAAGCATTGGTGCTAGCTGCTACCACTGTAAAGTTTACCTCCCCATTGGATCTAAGATGATCCACCTGCCGACCTGTGGTTCCGGTCTGCCCCATCCAGCGCTCCAAAGGTCAACAGCAAATGCTTGCCACTATGCCGAACAAATGAATCATATTAATGTGCAATGTTGGATTCCGTATTATGGCACCGATATCGAACTCGTCTCCATGAAAAAAGGATCCGGGAAATCGAGTCTCAATTCTGGATCTCCCAGGTTTTGTGTCTTGGGGCTATGCCACGGACCCTGCGGCAGCATGCCTTGCCACGAGGCCCACATCCGAAAGGAAGGACCAACGCCGCAAAACCACCCATCTCCCAAGCACCGAAATGGTTGGTAGGCCAGGAGCTGTAGGGTCACCATCTTCCATGAAGCATGTCTGCCTCTTGGGTTGGTTTAGAGCATGTTGCATAGTTGGTGCATAGTGCATAGTAAAAACAGAACAAATATAAATTCAAACTAATATGTGTTCAAACAAGTAGAGCAAAACATCAGAACACATATAACCACCTTGTTAGTCCCTCCGTATGCCGACTAGTCTCCAGTTGGTGTCTTTCAGGCCATGTGGGCGATTTTGACGAAATGGATGGCATGGACCCAATGTAGTCTGACTACTTTCCTCTACAAACAGGGGTGACCTCAACTTCCATGCTAGTGAGTCAAGTGGTAGATTGACTTGCAACTGAACGCCACAACCCACTTCCACTGCCTCGCTGCGCTTCAGCCGCTCACTACCGGCCTGGCTTCGACGGCCGGGGATGGGTCCATGCAGGAACCACTGATGGATGGATGTCACACGAAGTTCCTGAGCCCCCTTTCCCACAGACCCATTTCCTCTAAACCTCTCTAAACCTCTCTAACATTTTAGAGTGAGGATACTTGGTGGTGGTTTCCATTCACCAGTCTGAAACTTATCTAAACCTACCAAGCATTTGTTTGTCACAAGTACTGAGGATGGATTTCAGGGCAGACTTGCTAACCTGTGTTCTAAGGTTCAGGAGGAATGAGGGCGGAATCGATCAATTTGCTGAAGGATACAATACCTTCGGATTTCAGAGGCACTTGCACACGATGAGAGTCAGACGTAACTATATATCCTTGGTATTCCTTTGTGGCTTTTAAAACTTTGTGCAAACAGCAACTTTAGAATAGAAAAGATATGAAGAAAGTCAGGTGAGGCCCCTTTCCTTGGCCTTCCTTTTTTCATCTCTTGCTTTCTTCAACTAGAACTAGTCACGATGAGGCATGAGTTGGAGCACAAGTGGACATTCACAGAGTGGCTCCCAGAAGCGCGAAAAGCGTTTCTCATTGGCGACTTCGACAATTGGGAGCCTTGACTCAAATAAGTATATAGTTTCAAACATTTTTTCTGCAACATCGAGTTAGTGCCTTGAAACTCAGCCTGATCCCTTTGCTTGGAACCTTTGTTTGAGCGCACACTGGATGAAAGGAGAACATGCATCCCTTGCAACCAGGCCTGCCGGTTGCCAAATGAATTAGTAGGTTGAAAGATAGAATAAATAAGTTCAGCCACCCAGAGAAGCAGGTTTTCCTTTTCTCCTTTGCATTTTTGTGGAGTTGTGGGTTTAGATTTGAGCTGGCCAGCAAGGCTGTAGGCATTTGTTTGTGGGTGTTTGTTGGAGGCTATCCCTCACAGGCTTTTGGCAAGTCACACGGTGAGGCTAATGTACTTTACCTGAATAGAATTCCCTTTGACACGGGCACAGCACAACGACGTGGCACAAGTCCGGCATAAGCCAGTACGGAGCATTTGGCGGGAGGTATATTCTACCTATGTATATATATATATACATACATATCTATAGACTATACTGTGCTATTATGTTTATTAGTATTATTACTATTACTATCATTGTACAACAAGGCACGCAAGGAATTAAAAACTGTAAAAATGCAAAACGGTAAAAATCTCCACACAGCCAGTGTCTGCGATAAAGCGGTAAAACCGTAAAACGGTTAAAAGCTCAAAAACAGTAAACTTATTCAGCCAATCTCGTCAGCAATCACTCCAGTAGTTCCAGTGGTTCCCACATTTGCATCACGTGGGCAAACTCATCTTCAAGTGAATCTCAAGTGAACCTTTAGTAGCTAGTAAATCATTGGCACACATGGCCAGCCAAACAAAATGCTAAATGAAACATTTTGCTTCCTGTGGTCCTTTATGGATGGGCTTGTTGAAGTAAACACAGTCTCACTCTCATCCGACAGCTGGGAAGTGAAGACTGCAATAGAAGAATCACATGTGAATGCAATGCTCTGTTGATTGAAACGTGGCATCACCCTCGTCCGCAGCACGCTCTGCCTCCAAACGACGCTGAGCATAAGGCGGGCGGAAGTTTCGATAGAAGCCAAGCGTCACCCTTGATCCACTCCACCCACGCAGCCTTTGAGTTTTGACTTCAGAACTGCGTGCGCTGCCGGCTCGGCTATACGCAACCTGGCTTGTACTTCGTATGAATTCGCGGGGCCTACTGCTCTAAGTACCGCTTGCCGATGTTGCTTTGCTCAGAGCTCTGCATGGCTTTGTTGGACATATCCGACGCGTCCGCGCTTGCTGACCCAGGTGCAAAATGGTCTTGCAGCCATGCTCCAGAATGACCAAACGCTGACAACGCGCCACATAGTTTATATTTTCTTCAGGCAACATGTGCGCCTTTGCCAAGTAAATTTCCTTGACTCCTCCAGATTCGCCCAGTGACTGAATAAACTCAGACTCAGTTACTTCAGCTTCGTGTGAAATGCCACGGCTTTCAAGGACTCCAGAGTTCATGCAAACCGATTGCGTGGTTGAAGGCGTCAACTTGTCATTTTTGTTTCCCCTGGCTTCCAATCGCAAGGCATCATCTTCAACGATCTTGTTGTCAGGGAATGTTTGGATCAATGTGTACTCTAAAATTTTAGAGGAAGTGGGTCTGTGGCCTCATTCTGCTTGGGGATAGCTATTTGGACCCTACCCTACAGCCTTCTACCTGGCACCAACTCTAAAACACTCTAATTTTTTAGAGGAAGTGGGTCTGTGGCCTCTTTCTGCTTGTGAATAGCTATCTGCACACCCTACAGCATTGTACATGGCACCAGCTCTAATGAGTTCACCTTGAAGACAACTTCCCTCTAAAATCATCTAAAATCTTAGATAGTCTTAGAGTAGAAATGTTAGTGTCTCTTGACATCAAGTTGTTTTAGATACTGTAAGTTTAGAGTGCTTTGGAGTTGTTTTAGATATGTTTAGATAAATATCTAAGATCTTAGAGGAAGTGGGTCTGTGGCAAGCGGGGCTCACAAACCTTCTCTGAGGATATCTAAAACCATCCATGTCCGTACCTCAGAACTTGGGCACTTAAGGCTCCCCTTTGGTTTTTGGGCGTAGTGTTTGGAGTCCTTGGGTCCAGGGTTATGGGTTTGGGGATGAGTTCGCACCTGCATGGAGCACTTTGATGGTAGCAGCAGTAAGATCATCTTCACATCTATGCCGCCTAGCAGGCTTTTGCAATGCGCTCAACCTAGCGCTTTGATGGCGCTCCGTTGTAAGCAGCTTGTAAGCGAATCCAGCGTCTTTGAGGCTCCCTCGTTGGAGTTGGTGATTTTGGATCCCTCGTCCTTTTTGCAGGGATGTCCGGGCGATCCCTACCTGCACCCTCCAAAGTGCCTTAGAAAATGGGACATGACCCTAACAAAAAAACAGGTATGTATATACTTGATGGTACGACTGTACCCCTTTTCCCCAGGTACGAACTGAGACTGGTCGGTCGCCCGAAAAGAACTCCCCACGAGTGGGGAGCTGGCGATCGCTGCGGTGGACCGCCTCTGATTCGGTCCGGGTCAGGCTCCGCTCCAATCGGTCGAGCGGTTGAGATGGGTTTCTTTGGACTTGAGCGGTTTCTGGCCAAAAAGGTGGGATGTTGGCAGATCCCAACGGTAGATTGTTTCAGGGAGAAGACTTGTCGAACCCCGTCTGAGACAGCATGCGCAGTCCGGAATCCCCTCATGTGGGCGGTCGTGCCAGACCACTCCGTAGACAGCATGTGCCAAGGGTTTTCACTGTGAAAGAGTGAAAGACACCAAAAAAAACTTAAAAATGCTGCCGTTCAATCGCTACTTCAAGGACAAAAACCTTAAAACATGTTCCCATTTTAGGGTTCGTGGGACCTGACAGGTCTCAATTTACCCGAGAAGCTGCTGACCAGGAATCCGTCACAAACCAGATCAACCAGGACCTTCAGTTCGTGACCTCTTACGAGCCTCTGTTTGAAATCAGAGACCAGGGATTTGTACTGACCCTGACCTCAACCTCGGATCTCGAGAGTGGGCCCTTTGAATTTGCTGGACCATGGGTAGCTTCTTCATGCTTCTTCCCAGGTCCCTTCCTCCCGCTGGCCAGATCTACGAAGCTCAGCTTGCCAGCAGTGCGCAGTTGGCCTAGGTGGGACGGAGTGTGCAGGACCCGGTCTAACGTACATCCTGGACCAAAGTCGCCAAGTCGCCAAGAGTCGTTTTTTGATTTTATTTGGATCTCCTACTTCTATCAGCCTGACTTGTTGTGTAGAACAACAACGGGTATCTGTAGTAGGTTCTAGCCGTTAGCCTTGGATCATGACAACCATTTGCTTGCTTGCTCAGTCTACAAAACTAATTCTCTTAAAGCACCTCCAGAAACATTAAAAATACCTATACCTAATGGGAAAAGGCGCCTTTGTCAATGCTTAGGGGTTCTTGTCCCCACTTGGCGTTCTTGTCCTTTTGGTGGCAGTAAGGATCCACCCACAACCGGTTCTAGGAGTTTCGACAGCGATGACCATCATTTGTATATCCGGAAGTCGCTTGATGCTTCACTTACTTTTTTTGGTGGTTGTTTTGTGTTTCATTGTTTTAGCATCTTTTTTGCGTAGGCGTTCTTGCCCGTTACCTAGGCGTTCTTGCCCGTTACTTGGACGTTCTTACCCCTTCGACTACAATGAATAGTTGGCTGGACAAAGAAAGGGTATCCTTTTGAGAGGAGTGAGTGATACGAGTTTCAAATACATTGGATCGGGGACTAGCATCAGTAGGTGGCAAGCGTTTGTTTCCTCGAAGTTTGTTCATTCAAATTCAGGTTCTGCCTCTTGCACATAAGAATGCACGTAATTGTTCCTCGGCGATTTTAACTCTCAAAACTGCAGCTTAGGTGTTCGTTGCAAAAGTAGGCTTCCTAAGGAAGAAGTAATGGTATCCTATTGACATCAGGGATTCTCCGATGGTGTTCTTGCCCGGTCGCAAAAGGCCAAAAGAAATACATCACGACCAAGGAGGTGGACATGCCGAGAACTTCTCCAAAGGCAGGTAAATATCACTCAAAGTCAGCTCCTTCCTAAGATAACATGAATTGAGTATTGCAACATTATATAATCTTAATGTGACAAAATAATATTGTCCATATACACATCCATCTCATTTGCAAACCAAAGAAGGATGCGATGCGAAGCGTTCTAAGCAGAGTTCGATCGCGAGGTCGTCATGCATCACGCTGAAAAAGGGCCTGTGTGCACGTCGCGAGTGCCCAAGAAGAGCATCATCACCAGGTGAGATCTCGAAGACCTGGCACTTCAGTGCATCACCCAGACATGATTTACATGGGACTGGCATATATTTACATACCTTCACCCCAGGTCAACCAGCCCCAATTTCGGTAACTATTCCATATATGGAGTTTTTTGGTTAAGGGAAACTCTGGATTGTGTGGGTCCGTAGCTAAAATAGGTGGTGGCACCCAAGCTAGGTCCTCTCATCGAACTTAATTCTCACGAGCGATGTTGGAGAGAAGGAAAAGACCCATCAAAGCCGTGATGTTGGATGTCCCATGCGACTCACTGCAGAAGAAAGGCTCATCACACTATGTCTCGCTCCCCTCAGTGGGACTCAGCAGCTGCAGAAATTCAAGGATTTGGTACGTGCTGCTTCACGACCAGCGGGCTGCTCCAAAAATTCATCAACCAGGTCGACCAGTGGACCAACCTCGGAGAGGTCAAGAATCTCCCGATGTTCTCCACCTTAGAATTCAATTAATAGCTTCTTGTTACTACTAGTAAGGCACCTGTTACTACTAGCGAGGCACTTGTTTCTACTAGCGAGGCACTTGTTCTCCACCACAGCCGCTCTTCCTCCGCTTTTTGGGTTCCGCGGCATGGACCGGTCTTCGGTCCGATGTCGGCCACTGGATGGACGGCGAAGTCGGCGCGTTCCTGCGGCGTTCCTCGTGGCGGGGCGAAACCAGGGACGAAGCCGAGAGTTGTTGAGTTGAGGAGGATGGGCAGATGCAACGATCCTGGGATGGGATTGGAGATGACGAAACGATGACAGGTGAAGTGTTCTGAAGTTCTGTCATGTTCTGTTGAAAGCCTATCACTACAGTCAGTTACGCTGGCTTCAGGAGTAAACATATTCGATCCAGGAATCGAGGGGAACCATTCTAAAAGGTTCCTGTGATGGTTCCCTCACAATTCTGAAGCTCCACCGGAAATTCAAACGAGCTGCGGGTCAGTAAAGTTGTGCATTGTACGTTTCAAATCCAAAACAACCCCTAGGCCCTAGGGCTCCTGGCCCACCTTCTCAGAAGTTAGTTACCACCCAACCCACCCCAACCACCTTCGAAATAGAGGTAGTTGGAGCCATAGGGAACCCGTTGTTCCTTCTCATTTGGGACCCAAAAACAACTGCTACATGGGCGGACAAGGTTGGGGTTGCGGTCACCCCGACTGCTTTTGGGCTTTCAATTGAGCAGCGCAAGAGGTATAACTGGCATGTTTGACCGCCCAAGATGTATTCGCTCCAGTCACGGGAATAACAAACAGTTAGAACATCAACAGAACATCTTCAATACAGCACTGAAAGTTGGATTAGAACCACTACGTGCAAACACAACCAACCAACAGACTTTGGCTCATTGTAGAAGTTGCTTGCTTTCATCAGTGAGTGACCCCTTGAGCCAATAAAGAACAGCCTCAAGGATCCACCGTCCCGAATCTAAAAAACATCTAAGTCCTTACAATATCTCCTAACTTTAGCTGCTTCCCCCTAAGCAGCACACAACTACGACTACAACTAGTAAAAAACCAGCCACAACCCCAACCCGTTGCCCCTCAGTTGCCGCGCCAGGCTCGTCTCCGAATCACCGCGCCATCGCCACTGCGCCAGGAGCTGCAAAGCCACTTGCCACACGGCAGCCTTTTCGCAACAGCTGATCAGGCTGCTGTAGGTGAAAGCCTCGGCCGAGGGCTTGCAAGGCCTGCATCAAATGGAAAAGGATGATCCTGACCCGCTGTTCGTGGGATGCGTCGCTGTTCGTGGCTGTTCTGTTGGATTCCCGAGTCCCCACTCCCTGCTCCGCGACGAATGCCAACTGCATGACAGTCCATTCGAGTGGTCCGGACACGCCGGACACTGAGGCAAACCATAGTCACTGCCTTCTTTTTTCAGGTGTGCCCCAAAAATCATCCCCTGTAACATCTTTGTGTGCTCAGGTCTTGGAGGGGCACTTGAATGTAAAAAGATCTAAATTCTAAAAAACATATGAGAAGAAACATGAAAGTTTTTGATCCCCCTGTGAGTTGGCCAGGTGAGGCGGTGCAAAGCATTCCGTAGTTATAAATCAAAAAGTGGTTCCCAGGGGCCTACAGAATCACAAACTCGTGATCCAAAGTCAAAAACAGAGTCTCTACAAAATGCGCACACACAAGGGCATTTTGGACAGGGACACTCTACAAAATGAGAAGGTCCTGGAAGGGACAAATACGGCATAAGAAAAAGTGGTTCCTAAAATGGACAAACTGCGCATGATGCATTAGTTAGAGGGTACCACTTTTCGCACTTTTACAAGTCAGGAAGAATGCAAATTTATACAAGTAAAAACATGACAACCCATTTTGTAGAGAGTGTCATTTTGAGACAGCCTTTTTCATCGTCTGTTTCGCGGTCTTCTCCCTACATCCCTCATCATCCCCCCCTGCCAGCTAGGTGGGCACAACTTTCTCTACAAGGTGCCAGTTTTTTGTACAAGATGCAAACCGGCGAGGCTAAAACCACCTCCAATGCAAATGATAATGTTTCTCTACAGAATCACAAACCTTCCAGAAACTCCAAAATACTTCAAGAACCCTAAAGTTTACGCTTCTTACTCTGTTCCAACATGAC